CTTCTTCCCGGGCGGGATGCGGCGCCCTAAATACGCACCCTGCTCCTTTCTTTTTCCCCCCGGGCGGTTGCGACGCCCTAAATACGCTTTTGTCTCTCTCTCTCTCTCTCTCTTTCTGTCTCTCTCTCTCTCTCTTTCTTTCTCTCTTTCGTCCCTTTCTTTTCTTTCCTTTCTTTTTCTTCCCCTTTCTGGGCTATCTCTTGTACTTCCTGTTCGCCCGGTTCGGGATGGCCTGTTCCTCTTCTGCCTCTTTGCCTTCGCGGTCCCTTTCGTCTACAAGGTCTAGGTCGTTTTTTGCGCTGTTTGGGGTTGTTGCCCTCGGAGACCCGAAACCTGGCTTCCCCGTTGTTATTGTTTCTTGTTTGGGGTTTTGCCCGCGGTGACCCAACCTGGGGCCTTTCTGTTTCTTTTGGGCTCCCTTGCTCCGTTTGTTTTCTGTTGGGGTCTTCGCCCGGTTTTGGGGCGCGTGTGTTTTTTCTCCCCCCGAAAAAGTGGTACTCGCCCCTCTTTGAGGGGCGTGTGTGTGCGGAGTGACAGAATACCCTGTCACCAACTTCAGGCTTTCACTTTTACCGCAGGGGGATGCTGGGGACCTGTGCGGTCGGCATCCAACGAAGACGCCGCACTTGTCCTGTGATATCGAGGCTGATCACCTCGACGTACCTGTGCATTTCGTGTGATGCAAAGTCCTTTTGGCCCCCTTGGTTGCGGCGCTGTTTGTGCTTCTTGTTCTTTCGGGTAACGTGTTCGCTGCTAGAGGGAAGCCGAGTGCATCGCGAGCAGATCCCACACCCGCTCGAGACTCATCAGTTGTACTCGAGACTCATCAGTTGTACTCGAAAGATTAGCACTATCCATCTGGAGTTTAAGTGTGTGTTTTTAGAGGACCCCCCCAAAATGGTTGCTGTCCCTTTGGTTGCCCTCTCAAACTACCAAGAACGGTGTACTACTCGAAAAACAACAACTCCACTTCTGACTGCTGAATGAGCAAGCTACAACTTGCGCAATTGCTTTGGAAATCGCAAAGCAGCCGACAGGTCAAGGCCTTGCCAGCACGCCTCTAGCAGCATGTCACCGGATGAAGAAACCCTCAAAATGGGTGGTATCCCGGCATCCCTTTGATACTGTGGATGGAAGAAATCCTGCACCACCTAAGAAACCCTGATTCCCCTGTAAATTCCAACAAACAATGGTTTCAACCAATAATGCACCCGCGCGCGACCCACAACCCTTTGGGCACAGCGTTGGACATAGCTGGAACACATCCTGCACAGCAAGTTGACAAGCCAATCCTTGGAGACGATGCAAACGCGAGGGTTGCCGATAGCACAATGCCATCGCAACCCTTGTTGGATATACCAGTATACAGAACCAAGCACCAAATAAGCCGTCAGAAGCGGCCTAAAGCTGTTGTTGCCAGGTTCGTGGTATGCGTTGCCATGCGTTGGTCGTTTTGTTTCCTTTTTAAAGGGTCGACACTCCAGCTGTGTCATTTTACACGTTTCCTCCTTTCCATTGAACCCACACAGGTCCGTAGCCTTCAGAGCTAGCCACACGACTCGACGACTGCCGGACTCGGCGCGGCCTACCACGTCCGTCATCATTTCCGAGCAACGGGAGGTGAGGTCCACGTACCTGATCGAAGGCATTCAACAGCACGAAGAAGCAGCTGACAACCCAAGCAGATCATGCTAAAGAGTCTCCTCCAAAATAGCAAGGACGTACTCACCAAACCTGAGATGGCCCAAAAAAAGTAACTATACAACTTGTATGCCACTAAAATGGTCTTCCCAAAAAGTACAAAGTCCCATGAATCCAAAAAGTGAGCATATCAACCAGCGCACCCATGTCCGAACACTCAACTTGAATGGACACATATCGGTGCCTCTTCGTGCAGGCTGAAGGCTGGCGCACGGCTGGATCATGTTCACATTGAATCCGATCTCGATGTCTTTCAACATCACCTCCACGATGGGGATGGGGTTTGTCTGACCTTATGCGCTAGGCAAGAAGGGAAGACGGCTAAGTAGCAAAAGATGGCGGAGGGGTTCATTTGTTTCCTAGGTCCGGCGGGGCGGTCCCGACCCGCAGAGGGTTGACCTTTTCCAAGAAGCTATACCCCAGGTGAGCTTGCTATAAAATAGGCAGATTCAATCTTACATTGCAAGGGAGTCAAACAGTACAGATTTGACAGCGACCTGACCCAATGATCCAATGACCTCTCTTGGGGCACGGCAAAGCTGGCAGAAGATCGGATGCGGCCTTGCGGATTTGTACTGATTTGGGCATCCCCCATCCCAAACAGGGGCTGAAAAACCGCTTGGAGGCCTTGTGAAGCTAGAACAAGAGAGGATTCGCGCAGCAGGTCTAAGAGGCTAGCCGCATTCTGGAGCCCCATGCGCTACGAACGCTATGAAGCTGCCTACAAGACATGGCTCTATGCTGAGCCCCATGCATTGTGCATACACTTTCGTGCGGACTTCACATGTCAGCCGATGTCAGGGACATGACCTTGGAATTTCTTTCCAGGCAACCAATCAGCCTGGAGTCTCATGTTTGACGCAAGGCTTTTTCTCGCCAGGCCTTTGGCGAGAAGCTTTGGAGCCGGTGGATTTTATACTTTTCGCCACTCGGCACAAAAACGGCTTCCACTGAGACTTTCCACAAAGGCTACCCCGCCCCCCCCACCCCAGCAGCTCGTTTGGAAAGTTGACAAAAGGGTGCCGTCACGTGACCCGCCATCGCGGACAAGGCCAGCATGTTGTGAGATGGCCATACTCAGTTCTTCAGTGACCCTGCAAAAACAGGGAACCCTTTTTTGGGAAGACCATTTTAGTGGGGCAGCCACCAAAAAAAAGGAAAAAGGAGGCCACTGAACAACTGAGCATACAATCTCAGCTCAGCAACTGAGGTATCTGTCCCAAGCAATGGGTGTCCTACTGTAATGCGCGATTGAGTAAATCACTTGCTCATACTGTATGCTCCTCCTGTCAGGGCGTGAATTTTAATAGGCGGATCTTTGGTGGACATCAAAATTGATTGGGATTCATGTCCATCAACCACTTTGCAGGTGGTTCCTTATTGAAAATCGTAGCCAACAAACTAAGCCGACACCTCCATGTGCTTAAGCCCCCTGGAAAAACAAAAAACAAACACAATAGTAATATATCCCCTTTAAAACCAGCAGGGGAAAGAAAACAAAACAACTTCGGCAAATAGAGGCAGGCAACCGTAGCACGCTGCTCACAATAAAAGTGAATGTTCATGTTGATTCGGCGTCCTGTTGGTAAACTCGATGGGTTTCCATCTGGTTTTCTGGAACAAAGCCCGAATCTATCCCTGTGGAACCCAATGGGATTTTTAACCGTCGCCCCATCAAAAGGATACCAATGAAGCTTCAACCCTGCAGGGGAAATCGGATCGGAAAATGGTCCTGTGGAATTCTCACCTTGGTTTCACCCATGCTGTGTGACACGAAATCGGTTAGAGGTTTTTTAGCTCTGCGTGTCTGAGATGCGCGTCTTCTTTTTTTGTTTGGCGTTTCAAAGGTGGTTTTAAAGGGAAAAGCAAAAGGAAAACCATGATCTGGGGGGGTCCAAAACCAAACAAACACGAGCCATCCCTTATGATCTTCGCAAGCTGGTAAGTCTTCTAAGCATGCATACACACCCCTTAGAAGTGAGACTCGATTGCGCAAGTCCGGAAACAGGGTGTTGCAATGGAGAACCAGAAATTGGCCTCCCTCGTCTTCTTTTGTGCTTTTCAATCGCCTACCCTTCTCTACGGGACCCACCAGAAGTTGTTGCCTGGATATCTTCCAGGGCCCTCTAGTCCGGTATGTGTTCCATGTTGTGTGGGAGGATACTCGACAAATACTACAAACTCGGATGAGCTTCATCATCACCTTAGGATGGTCCCTATTAACCTTCATGGCTAGGTATTCATGGAGATGGATTCTGCCTATTGATTCCAACTAGAAAAGGATAAGCTTGCTGGTGCTCAGTAGGCAGCGAATGAGAAATGGAATGACCCGCATATACCATCCAACTGGTGGTTTTTATTCAGGAATCCCCAGGTTCAATGTTCAATTCCTCATTCCCCACTGATCGCAGCAAGTAAGTGCAACGTCAACTCATTTCCTGAGTGGACTGGCCAAAAAAGTCTGAGCTAACCAAAATGGTCCCAGCCCAAAAGGTGTAAAGTCCAAAACGGAACTCAGGAAGTGAGTCAAGCAGCCTGAAATGCTAGGTCCTCCAGTAGAGAGGTTAGAATAAAGGTACCCTTTCTTCTGCAGTCTATTTTAGTAGGGGAAACCTGCAGTCTATTTTAGTAAGGGAAACCTCCCGCAAAACAAGACACGGTAAAAGGGCACCTAGCTGGGGGACCTAGGCTTGGACCCTTAAATGCCCATAAATGCATTATGGATGTCTGGAGAGTTCATCGCAACTCATACCCAGATCAATCGGTCAAAGGTTTCCTTGATGGGACCTAGAATGGATAAACCTTGCACAAAAAGGTCTGAACTTTCTAGATACCACCAAAATGGTCCCAGCCCAAAACGTTTAAAGTCCGAAACGGAACTCAGGAAGTTTGCTTATGGCAATGCACCCTTTGTAGGTGGGTTTAGAGGAAAGTCAAAGAGAACCGTTGCGCCAGTTTGGTTGGTACCTCAAAAAGACGAGGCAGATGGACCTCACAAGCAAGCTTCCAAGCTTCCCTTCCCAACTGCAGGTTCCCAGCAGTTGCCTATAGGCGTTGGGATCCTCCCGGTCCCGGTCCGACTTGTCGCTCGAGACCACCCGCTTCAGGATCTGAAGCGAAAGAGAGAGGAAAATTTGGGAAACCAGGAAAAATGATGAAAATGGGGAAAAGAGAGGGAGTAAACCAGAAAAATGGGGAAACGTGGCTTTTTTGACCCTCCAAACCGTGTGTTTTAACCATAAAAAGTGGATGGAACCTGTTTTTCACCCTCCAAACCTTGGTTAAACCCCGCCTTTTTTTTCGGACGATTCAGTGTGGAACACATATTTGCATCAAAATCAAACAGCTGGGGTTGCCCAGGGTTTAGTTTTTGTTCCCTTATACCAGGGTGCCATTTTGGGGGGATTCCCAGTTTTGAGCCACAGCCATAAAATAGGGGGGGTCTTACCATGGACCCACAACAATCGGTGGTTTCCCTTGAAACTCCCTTTTACACCCTCCCTCAATGAACACACACACACACACACGAGACTGACTCTGGATTGCTGAAAGAACACTTTGGTAGACATCATTCGGGGATTTATGTCCACTAGCCATTGAGGGTATGGGTGGTTCATGCTTGAGGCCACCCATCTTGGGTTGCTCGAAAAGAAAAAAAAAACATTTGGTAAAAACCTACTTGGCATGGACTTTCGTGACCGGATCCCTTGGACATCAAAGGCATGGACAAATTGCGACCAGCGATCATTTTGGAGGGTCCGATCCAAAGCCGTGCATTTATGTGACAAGTACACGGCTTGCTCAACGCCAGAGATTTTGCCCTATTTGGTACAGAGCGATCTATCAACTTGAGATAGTTCCATCTACTGGGGGTGTGTACCAAACCGGAACGGAGCTCCGGGCGCAAACAGCCAGCCATCCAACCGCAAGTTTGCTGGCTCTCACGATGGTTGCCATGTTTTGGTTCGGTGCTCCTGCAAACCCTCTCGTGTTGTCCCATCCAATTCTGCGAAACTTGCGAGGTTCACACGTACACGCACCACTGACACTTGGATGTGGCTCAAAATCAAACAGCAGGGGTTACGCAGGTTTTGGTCCATGTTTCCACTTACCAGGGTTCCATTTTGGTACCAGTTTTTGGAGCCACTGACACTTGTGCCGAGTCTTGATATGACACACAAGGGCGAAAAGGGCGGCTCAAAGGACTTCAGGCGTTTCTTCAGGCCTGACCTGTTGAGTCCAAAATGGTTGCAAATTTGACCCACTCGGCTTCGGGCTGTCCCAAAATACCAACGAAAAACAACATATCATTGCGAAAAATCGGCTGTAGTCTTGTCATTTCTATACTTTAAGCCAAGCAATGGCGGGTAGCTTGGGTGGGGCTTCAAGAGAAGCCCAAGCTTGGGCTAGGAATCTAAGGGCAGAATTGACAAACAGTCTACCAAGGCCAGGAGCATGCATTAATCATGATCACCTTGTGTTGATCAAACCATTCTCTCCAGTCAAGATTAGATCCTACACTGTAAGTTGGCGCAAGACAGAACATTCACTTCTTGGAGACAACACAGCCTTGCTTCAGGTTCCAAGGATGCAAACATACACCACACATTTGCGATAGTCAACCCCTTGAGAATTGATAAGAAATAAATCGCAATGACCGCCCGGCTGGTCGAAACACATCCATCGATCGTTTTGCGCCGCCAAAACATACGTGGAATGCAACAATTCACGGAACTGAAACGAGGAACGTGGGGGCTTCCAAAATCATTAGGGTCCCCTTTTGTAGCGGGGGATCCTTTCCTTGCTGGCGCTCAGTAGGGACTGACCCAGGGTTTTGGCAATGAACCTGTGAATTCCCTTAAAGGAAACCACGTTCACAGGGGTCATTCCAACTCATTCCCTGCCAATCCAACCTGGGCTGTCCTCAGATCCCCCGCCAAAAGTTTAACTTTTAGTGGGCTAAATAGAAATCCCCACCAAACGCTAAACAGCTAAAAAGCTAAAAAGCTAAAACGCTAAGGAAGCGGATGGCTGGGAGCCGCCAATCCAGCCAGCTGTTTCGACCAAACCAAGAGCGGCCAACCAACCCATCAACCCATCCGCGCCTTCTTGGCCTCCAGCTTGGCCTCCTCACAGCCATACTTCAGCATGAACTGGTTGTACCTGGGCCGTCACTTCTATTGGCTGGAATGAGGGCCCCGGCAAGAAATGAGATATGTTTTGCCTGGCAGTGGAAACAAATTGAAACCCGAAAAAAGAGCAACAAAAAATGAGAAAGGGGAACAATTGAGTGGGGAAGTTCTAGGGGTTGATTCTAGATGTTGCCTGGGTGCTCAGACGCCCTTCACCTGGCGCTCGTGCCCCCATTTTCTGGTCGGGCGCCCTACCTGCAGACCAGCTGGAGGCCTAAAACTCGAGGGGTTGAGTCCTTGTCCATTCTTTTCTCCACCATCCTTCTTTCCAAAAACCGGCCGGCCGGTTTTTTTTCTTCCGGGTTTCCGGAGGAGGTGTTCTAGAAAGATTTGGATCCCTGGAAATGGAAATGGAAGGTGCCAGATCATCCTAGATCATCCTAGACCTCCAGGCCTCAGGCCTCAGGATCCCTCAGGCTCGGATCCTGGGATCCATCCACAAGTACCCATTGGCACTTCGAGCCATGGAGGGTTTCGGAGGGTTGACGTTGGGTTTGCCGGAGCAACAACCTTTCAGATTTTTTAGCAGCTCAGTGGGGTCCCGAAACCCCCACTAAACCACAATAAGCAAGAATGTAACATGCTTCCCAAAAACAACCATGGTTTGGGGAGCATCTGCGTTCTTGTCTTGAACAGGTAAGTGCGACTGTAAGATTCCCAATCAAGAGTGCCAGGGAACAACGGACGCGTCCTGTCACTCCCGGGCATTTTGCCACAAGCATTGTCATTCTGCACTCATTACCATTATCATTCAACTCAAGGCTTCGCATCAAATATCTGCATCAGCAAGATCATGAATGTCGAGCCTTGCTGTCACCGGTTAGGCATGGCTGTCAAACAAGAATGGAACACAAGGACATGAGCAAAGAACATGCTGGTACATTTAAACAAGACTTTGTTGTGCATGTATTCGACTGCTAACATTTATCGGAGGACGGGCAAGTACTTAGAACTGGTCAAACACTGCCTGAGTACTTGCTGCAGTGCCAGACTGCTCCAACCTCTCTTGCTTTGGAAACCCTGCCTCGTCTCCCAACAGCTGTAGATCATGTAGCGCTGGAAAACCGTCACCTGTTTCAGGACGTTCCACCTCAGCCGTGCAAAAACGTGCCCTCTGGGGATGTGTGCTCTTAGTACGACACCAAACGTGCAACATGCACTCTGTGCTCAGGAAACAGCTCAAAGAGCCTCCCCCCACCGCTCCCCTCCCCCGCCCCCCAAACCAAAAAGAACGAAACCCATGCGAGTGAAACTCACCGAACATAAATTGGTGGCCGTCCGCATGCCCCCCCATCAAGGACAGCAATCGCAAGGATTCTCGGCGCAAACTCCGTCGTACGACTAGGGATCCTGCCCTGGGAACGTCAACCAAAATGTTCCCGTGTTGACTAGGTCCTCCAGTAGAGAGGTCAGAATAAGCCTTTTCTCTGTAGTCTATTTTAGAATGGGAACCCTCCCCAAAAAAAGGGTACAAGGGCACTACTAGGTCTTCCGCAAGCGCCGATTCTCGAGCGAAAATCGCGCCAGGGGAATTCTCATGAAGGTCCCGAAACTATGCAGACATGTTCTGGTTTGCGAGAGGCAAACTGCCCAGATGCAATGGGGGCCTGCCCGAAATGCAAGCAAAATTCCGAGGCTTCCTGTTTCAAAACCATCTTTTTCTGAAGCCGGCCGGTTGCTTGCACGACGTATTTGGCGTAAAGACATGAAGGACACCTCTGCTTTTGACCCAAAAAGCGAACCCTGCCACCGGGGCAGCCGGCGCCACGCTGCTCAGCCAGGGGCAGGGCTTGGCCTCGGGGTCAAAGTTCCGACGGTCTTTAGACGTGAGAGTTGTTTTTGGAGAGGCCCCTGGAGTTGCTCGCTTAACAAGTTCCCCCCTGTTGCCCTTGATTTGTGTTCTTAGCAAGTTCCCCCTGTTGCCCTGGACTTGCTCTCTTAACAAGTTCCCCCCTGTTGCGTTAGAGAGAGACCGATGGATTTGTGTTCTTAACAAGTTCGCCCCTGTCCCTCCAACTTGTTGTTTTGTTCCCGCAGTCCGGGACATTTCTCCGAAGCTCTTCCTGTCTTGGGAACCAAAGCTCCATATTAAAAAAAAAAAAAAAAAAAAACGCGAGTCGGGTGGCTTCCCTTTGGATTCCCTTACCACGTATTCGCAAACCATGCTGCAAATGACTCTCACCTCCTGAAAACACGGAATCTGGATGAAAGGGACCTTCACCATAACTCGTTTTCACCCATCGGCAAGCTCATTGTTTTGCCCGAGGTGCGTTTTGCTCGGACTTTGAGAAAGGCATTTCGCAACCAGAAGCCGTGAAGGGATAAGAGCGTGAACGCCATTGTATCCTCTTGCACAGTGGTTGGCATGGGGAGTCGAGGGGGGGCAGGGGGCGCCGGCAAACGTTTGACACAACTAAAGCTTAACTCTAACCTCTACCCTCTCTAATATCTACGCCTAACTCTAACCCCTAATTCGAACTTCTTACTTCTCCAACCTCTAACTCCCCTCGTCGAAGCTCTAATCCCAAACCTCGCAGACCAAATTGGTCGACACCCCCAGCATCACCAGCGGCCCAGTCTAGACAAATATGTTCGATGACTAAAGGTAGCATAAATGTCGGACACATTTCTGGACGAATTGGTCGACACCCGCGGCATCACCCGCGGCTTAGTCCAGGAAAACGTCTTCCGTTTACAAAACGTAGATGTCGGACAGGTGTCCAGGCAAAGTGGTCTGTGTAACCTCTAACTCCCTCCTCTAACTCTAACTTCTGGCTGTAACCTCCAACTCTAACCTCCAACTCTAACCTCTAACTATTCTATAGCTGCGGGGTCGGCAGCCGGCGTCAGCCTCTGCAGTGTGATTGGGCTAACACGTGTAGAACTTGCTGGAGTCAATGCCTCGCATAGATGGCCACAGACATCCGTTTTCGTCGGATCGAAGAGTTTGCTCAGGTTGCGGCGATGGATATCGCTGGCAGCAGGTGCTTGTAGACGATGGCCACCAGCCTGCAGAACATGGCGACGGCTCTTTGGTTCTCCCAATGGCTGCGGCTCCAAACAGTGAACCAAACTGGCGCCTTGGTAAATGGAACAGACTAGAACTTGGGTAGCCCTAGCTCTTGCATTTTGAGCCAAGGGCGGCCTCCAAACCAGGTGATTGTCCCTTCGACTTTCCTTTCAACGTCCCTGCAAGACAAACTAGACGAAACCATGTGATTGGAACATCCGCATGGGTCGTCGAAAATGGGGGCCATGTTTGGAACCCTGTCATGTTGTGCCGCCTGTTTGGAGCCCCTGTCCGCAGGTAAAAGCAGAAATGGAATTGACAAATCCGTTCGCAAGTATCTTGTAAGCAACCATGGTTCCATACTTCAGCACAGCATGTACCCTCGCGCTCACGAGCAAACATCACAATGCAAGTTCCCACCTTGTCAGTTGCAAGCCAAGCAAGCTCCACAGTAGCAAGCACGCTCCTCGTAGCAAGCAAGCTCCACATTGCAAGCAAGCTCCACGGGCAAAGCTTCTTTGAGACCTTCCACGTGCTTGAGGTGCCAATAAGAACCACTGCCATCCCCGGCCATGACTATGTTGACCCAAGATCAGCTACACATTAACCTATCCACGCTGTTCAAGGTGACTCGTAATCAACACCTGGTACTGAAGGAGACTATTCCATGTCATGTAAAGAACTTAAGTAGCTTCTTGCCGCACCTAGGGCAAGGAGACGGTCTCCTCATTGCTAATGTTATCTACCCGAGTTGGTGTTGATTGTGTTTTTATTAAGTGACACCTTAGGCAAGGCAAGCGAGAAAAAACACTTTGTCAGGTCGCTATACAAACAATCCCAGAAGGGTTCACGCGTTGGGACTATCCCTTCATGTGGGTCTCCCTTTAATTGAGGTTACCCTTTTTGGGCTTGGTGTTAAAGCAAAACCAAAAAGGACGAACAAAAAGGACAACCAAGAAGGACAACCAAAAAGGACGAACAAGAAGGACCACCAAAACGGACCACCAAAACGGACCACCAAAAAGGACCACCAAGAAGGACCGCCAAAACGGACAACCAAAAAGGACAGCCAAGGACAACCATATTGACCCCGAAACGAGCCATCCTGACAGAAAAAAAACCCGCCCGCCTGTCTTCCAGGATCTGGTTGGAAGGCGCTGCGCCTGAGTTTCCAGACCCCATCAGCTGCCCGCCATGGGCGCTTTCGGGAGCCGAATCGAGTGGCTTTTGGAGTTGGATATTTGGGGCCCTGGCAGGACTTGGAATGCTTTCCTCAGTTCTTCAGTGACCCTGGATAAAAAAGAATTGGAACCCTTTTTTGGGCTTGGACCATTAGTTGGGCAGCCACCAAAACAAAAGGAAAAAGGCGGGCCACTGAACAACTGAGTTTCGGTGAGTGTCTTGTGTTGGTTGCTATATCAGGTAACCCTTAGTTGGTGGTTTGGCTTGGTTTGGGATTTGAACCTCCGGCTTTTGTCCGAAAAAAGACCCACTGATTCGACTCAAAACCACCTGGGGGGAAGCTGACCGACATAAACAAGAAAACTACATGAGTGTCGTTGTGGGGCTAGGATGCCTGAACAAACGAGCTGCCTTTCCCGCGTAGTCCTGCCACTACCTCCATTCTGGGACTTATGGACTTCGTTGCGACCTGAATGTGCCCACTTAGGCATTGAGCTCGTACTTTGCACGCTAGACAGTAGCGAGGGCGAGAAGAAAATGCGGCCAACCAAATACAATCGAACATGTTGTCGAGCATGGACTCTGTTGAAACGACGCACACGTGCAGCACAAACGGCATGGACCTGTGTTGCCAACCGCAGCCATGTGCTGTTCTCGACAGGTGTGAGTGCTTCAGCCCGAGGCTTCTCCCACTCGGAGGCAAAGGAGTGTCGTGATCTGCGTGCAGTAGCAAGCACATAACCAGAAGTCTGACAGCAAAAAGGTATGCTGCTTGCTTTTCTACACCACGTGACCTATGCCATCTGAAAGGTGCATGAACCCCATCACAACCTCTGTAAAACCGGCCCTTTCTTGCATGATGAAGCAGGTGCGCAAGCTGCAAGCTGGATTTGCGGGAACTTGTTGACGCAAAATGCATGTCGGCCGGCCTTGCCCCTGGCCAAAACATGACTTATTTGGCCCAAACATGCCCAAGAAGCTGGGGCAGTCTTGCAGGCGAAAATCGCAGAGGGTGAAGACAGCCAGTTGTGCAGCTGGTACGTCTTCACAAACGCTGCTGGGTATGGATTTACAGCGTTCACTCTATGAGTGCTTGGCCAGCTACGACTTGCAGTCGCGAGCAAGCAGCTCATGCTGATGGGGCTCAGCTGCATTCGCAAATGACCGGCGCTACGTGGCGAAGACATTTATTTGCACATGCTAAAGGGGAGCACGCTGGGCCACGCCCATAGGTGGCCTCTTGGAGAAATACATGGCCCTGGTAGATGGAAGAAACCCCACCTGGACCAGTGGAACCCATCTATGTTTAATCAACCTAACCTATAAAGGTGCCACCTATGGCCACGCCTTCTCGCCGTCCTTTGCGATTTTTGCCCTGGAAGCGAATTTTCGAATTCAAAGGGCCACGGCCCAGAGAAAGAGGAGACACAGGGCGATCGGGTACTTAAGTGGTGAGTAACTATGGTTATAACCCACTGGACGGAGACTTATAGCCATGGCTTCAGTGGAAAAAAAAACATGGTTACTACTAAGTTTACTAAGTACTCGATCGCCCCTTTCAGTACAAGCAAGGTGGACAGCGTGTCTCCTCAGGTGAATTGTACTGGACTCGCCCAGCCAATCGCAGGAGTGTTTTTGTGGATGAATCTGTTGGAATCAATCAAACCGGTGAAAAGTGTGATTTCAACAAAGAGTTTTCAGAGGAGTCGCGAGGGGCCAGGTCACCATAAATGCATGACTGCCCTTGAGAACAAGTTTGCGGCACATGGGCACGGAGTCGCCTTGCGCTGATTTCTGGATCTTGACAGGAGTGCCATAGCTGACTCTGTTCGGTTTATGAGCGACGCAAATGGCACAGGTACACTCGTTGCACTCTCCAATGGCTGTCCAAATTGGGAACCTGCCGAAGTGCTTGGCTTCTTTCTGGTTGCCCATGACAAACAAATCATGGCAACTCATCATGTGTAGGTTGTTACTCTTTTCTCTCTCTCTCTCCCTCCCTCCCTCCCTCTCTCTCGCTCTCTCTCTCTCTCTCTCTCTCGCTCTCTCTCTCTCTCTCTCTCTCTCTCTCTTGCTCTTGTTTTCTCATACATATGCAAAAGCATATACAAACATCAACAGAATCCAACACCTTTGCAAGCATTTCCCTTGCCCAGCCCATGGACCGCCAAGCGCCCTGCTGTGCGCGGAGGCAGTGGCCACGGCACTGCCGGGCGCATCCCTTGGACGGGCCGACAAAGCTCTCAGTGGACACATTGGACTCATCGGACTCCGCGGGCTTGTGTTGCGGTGTTGCGGTGTATCGGTGTATCGGTGCGTGGCCGATGTCCTGCCGATGTCCTGTTCGCGGTCGCTCTGTTTTGTTGATTGTGGTAGTGTTTAGCATCTAGCTTCATTACTATATACACCTGTCCCAGTGTCGCCGTGTCTGTTTCAGAGGGACCCCGCCCCAATATCTCGGTAGAGGACCCTTACAGCCAATGTTAGTCAAGGGGTGGTTCTTCAAAGAATGAGGTGGCGGTAGGTCGGTTCTTCAGAATGGGGGTGGGGGGGTAGGGTCACGTATGTGGTGTGAATGCGTTCAGTATTATATATCCGCTCCCACAAAGACGGACTCCTGAACATGGGCTACCAGTAGTTTCCATTTTGGCTTAGTCGTTTAGAGTTGTCTCATTTGAAGAACCAAGCAAAAGAGGCCCCGTCTCAGACTCCTGCAGTCATGTGGGTGCTTTTTTGGGGGACCCCCCCCCACCCCACCCCCAAAAAAAGAAGCAATGGCTTCTCTGGTTTTGCTTTAAGCCCACCAATCAAAAGCAGCCTCCAGAAAAGACACCCATGTGCCGGCACTGATGTCAGAGCCTTCCAGCGACTGCAGTTGGTCAGGGCTCACTGGATTTCGCCAAGTCGATCGATTTGGTGGTGGTTTACACAGATCCACTTTTGGAGGCTCCCGAAAAATCGACCTGCTGGTGGATAGTTGATCGATTTACTGGTGGTTTACGCTAAACTGACCCACTCTTGGAGGCTCCCCACAAATTCGACATGGCTCGGACACCCTGTTGGTAATTAGGCCATGCTCCAGAACTTCCAGGTTTCTTAGAGTGATCATCACAATGTTGACCCAGGAATAATAAACACGTCCCATTCTTAGGGGGGTGTTCCCTCCAAAAGTGGTCTGAATCCCCACTAAAAGGGGACCCCCCCTATTCATCAACCAGGGGTTTATTCATCCGGGGTTAACATTAGCCATGACCAAAACCACGCGCCTTTTTGCTCCACCACTTTGACAGCCCAGAGTTTTGCGCTTTCAGACGGGTGCCTCGGCTTGGCTTCCGGGAACCTTCGAGTCTAAGCCTCTGGCTTCAGCGAGAGCGCCATGACCTGCAGCCGCGAAACGCGGCTAAGCTCCAATTGGAGGGTGGGTTTTCGGATACCCTCTCTCCCACGTTGCCATAACACCTGACAATGGGTCCCTCCAAGAGGAAACTTATCAGGTGCCCTCCCTCAGGTGCCATGTTAGTGGGAGGAAGGGTACCTCTTGTCTTTTTGTTGTGTTGTTTTTGGAGCTAACTAAACACAACAACAAAAAACAACAACAAATAGACAACAATTGGATTTCTCGAAGTTGTCTCTTCTTTCTTTTCTGTGGCTCCGAGAGATTGCGCGGAAAAAGGCAGGATTGACATCACTCTGATTCCTCCACATGATGGACTGCCTCTGCAAATTCAAGACTAGAACAGCTACTGCACTGCCAGAACCAGCGCCAAAAAAAATCGTGTCAAGACTGCTGGCCACTGGCCACCCACTCATGGCCACTTCTGCAGGAAACAGGCCCGTAGGCTTAAGATCTGAACCAATGACTCGGTTTGGACTGCCGGCTTGGCCGAATCCAACGTCGCCACTTGTACCCGTGAGCATTGAATCCTTCATGGGAAAACATCTCACTTCAACTTGGAGCCATGAGAACTCCTTGGTCGCTGGAATCAGTGCGTAAGAACTAGGTGCCCGAAAACATGGGAATTGCCACCCTACCCCTCAAGCCGCAAAGGCCGGGGGGAGTTGCAGCACGCAACTCTCACCCAAAATGCTTCGGAACTCGACTGTATCTTGCCTTAGGTCACTATTTGGTTCAGCCAACAGGCAACCCCCTTCGAAGTCTTTGTTTTCCCGGCCATCCCGCCCAAATGCCAATGGAGCTATGTTCTGGTTCAAATCATAAAGTGTTGACAAGGGATCTTCTCAACATGAATGCGTTGGCTCTGGCTTGCTTCATTGACCACCCTGAATATGCTTACATAAAGATATCTTAATATATAACATAATCATCTGTCTATGCATTTCAACATATGTTGTACTTCCATCATTGCGCACGCTTTACCTCATTTGACATACTGTGGATGGACACAATCCTGCACAAAATTGAAACCATGGTTGAAACCATTGTTGGTATTTGCAGGGGAGTCAGCGTGCCAGAGATCTTTAGGTGGTGCGAAATGGAATTCGTCCATCCACAGTGTCTAGGTCCTCCAGTAGAGAGGTTGGAATAAGGGTTCTCTTTTTGCCCACCCGACAGGAAGGGGTTGTTAGATTTTATGTTGGAATCCGCGTTTGCGATGCTTCTACCGCCAAGTATCCCGCCCGAGCAAATCGCCAGTGGATCCCGCCGAGTATCCCGCCAGAGCTGCTTGCCAGTGGATCCCGTCGAGTATCCCGCCAGAGCTGCTCGCCAGTGGATACCGCCGAGTGTCCCGCCAGAGCGGCTCGCCAGTGGATCCCAAGCAGCTGGCCAGCGGATCCCGCCCAGAATATCGCCAGAGCTGCTCGCCAGTGGATCCCGCCAAGATTCTTGCTGATATCCCACCCGAGCACCCCGAGCCCGCTAGTGGATCCCGCCGAGTATCCCGCCGAGTAGCTCGCCAGTGGATCCCGCCGAGTATCCCGCTGAGAATATCTTGCTGGTGGATCCTGCCGAGTAATTATCCGGGCAGTATCGAGCCGGAGCGGCTCGCCAGTATTCGCGAGTGGATCCCACCAGTATCCCTCCAGAGCAGCTCGCCAGTCTGGTTTTGCTTTATGTCCCGCCCGGCGCACAGTTGGGTTTACATTTCATGTTGGCGCCTTCGTGTTTTGAGTGTACCCTGAGGCTGTGTTGCTTTGGGCTGTGAATAAGCAACTTCGTTTAATCCCCCGTCGGGTTTCTTTTTTGGAAGGGGCTTGGCTTTTGTTAACGGAACCGATGTTTGAGTTCTGGAGATCGGCTCTGCAGACAAGTGGAGTTTGACACAGAGACAGGTGGATAAGGCCCTCAATGCAAAGATTGTTGAGCAGTCATAGGCTCCAAGCCACTCGAAAACCATGCTTGAATTCACACAACCGTGTTCACGGTCGTAAGCTCGTGAGTGTGGAGGGTGGGGATTGCTCTAAGCGAAGTTTTTTTTTCTTCTGTAGTCTATTTTCGCAAGGGACCCTCCCAACCAAAAAAGGGGGTGAGAAAGGGCACCTAGCTGGGGGACCTAGGCATCTTTATTTAGCAATATGGTTCCAGACGGAATATGTTTGCCACCCAAGCTTTCAGGACGTCAGCCTATTCACCGCTGAAAACCATGGGCGCGCCTGCCAAAGGTGGCCCATGAGCATGTTGTCCTTGGCTCGGCCAGCGGCTCTATTTACGGCAGTTTGTTTGGCCAGAGCTCAATGTGGGGTATGTCAAACCTGGACTAAGACTTGATCCCTGAACACTTGGAACACGGCTGTTTTTGTGGGTGTGTTCCAGCCAAAACTGAAAACACTCACTTCTTTGGACTAAAAACAACTGCTCACACCTCAGATGTGAAGACTTGAGTGATCAAACGCGTTTCGCCGTGCCCCAGAATGTCCCCACCTCCAACTCTGCCCACAAAGAAACCTGAACTAGCAGGAACCCCCTCAGAATGGCTTCGGGTTTCCTTTGAAAACCACAAAAGGGTAACATCAAACAACATATGGCTGTGGGTCAAAGATAGGTATCCAAAATGGCTCCCCTGGTAAGTGGCAATGGACGAAAACCTGCGGTCCGATTCCTGGTGGTTGAATTTTGACCCACACCCATATCAACAAAATTCGAGGGGTCGCCTTCCTCTTTCCTTCCTGAAGATGGGGCAGCCTTAGATCATGTGGCATGGCGTGGCTGCAAACGGAAGCGCGAAACCCAGCAGTTTCACAGCGGTGAATGCTCCGAGCTGGGGACCCGGAAAATGACAGTTTCACTAGGAACCAACATTGATTACAACCATTTGGGTGTGGGTCAAAAATAGATGGCTGCAATGGAAACTCGGCAAATGGAAAGGACTAAAAATTGTGGTGGTCCCCTGGCTTAACTTTGATCCATACCCATTTTAAAGGGGGGGTGTTCATTTCGAAACATACCGGACAACTCTTTAAAATGGGTATGGGTCAAATCATTGACCGAAGTTCTGGCCACCAAACTCGAGACGAGCATGCAACATCATGCAACGATATGCAGCACCTACAGATTGGTGTTGGTCTAGAGGAAAGCAACAGCACGTGTCTGTCCCTTTGGTGGTTTCCTTTGGGGCATCCACAACTAGGATGGGAGCATGTGCAAAGGACAGAAACTTATTCCCATGTTGTCGGGGGCCAAGACAAGATCCCCCAAAATTGGAACCGTACTAGCCGCTATTGGCCCCTATTGGGATTGGGGGGCCCCTGTTTGGCGGGAATGCTAGGAGATTCATGTGCCGAACAAGCTGCATGAAATCAGCCAGGTCCCACCCGGCCCTTTGAAAGACGAAAGACGCCCGTGGACGCGCCCTCTTGGATGGACAAAATCCTGCGCCTAGAAAACCCTGGAATGATGAGTCCCTGCAAATACCAACCAACAATGGTGTCCCATGGTTCCAAGTGGTGCGAGATGGATTTTGTCCATCCGCAGTATGGCAATGTGGAACAGGGATCCTTACATCATACACCTGAACATTGCAACTTGTAAATGGCGGTTTCCCTTTACTGTGGTGTTGAAAAAGCAACATGTTTCAACTGGTGGCTAAATGGCTCGATCCTTTATTCGGAGCCCAGCCTTAAACTCCTTGACCTTTGGTTCTAAAATGAATCTGGGCACATAATTCTGCAAAATGGCTCGATCTTTTGGTGGCACAATGGCTCGATCTTTTTTTTCTGGAGCCCTGTGGAAAGCAAGCCATTTGAAGGCAAGCACTGCGGAGACGACCTCTCAGGCGGCTGCCGTATGCAAGTAAAACTCCAGCTGATCCAAGACCTGCAGCGTGCTTTTCCTAGGGTTGATTCTATGGGTTCATGGGAATCGACCATCGTGCTGGTTTTACCCATGCTGGTTTTACCCATGGCTTGATTCCTGGTCCATCCTTTCCAACTATCGTTCTTTTCAAAAACCCAGCTGTTTCCCCGGTTCAAGGAGGGTTTTCTAGAAAGAAGGATCCCTGAAAAGAATGGGGACGTGTGTTTCTAGAGCTTTCCTACGAAGCTAACTTCTGAATGGAGGGCATGCTTGTTCCACCAAACATGGAACCTGCAGCAAGCCTTTCGGATGACCGAGGATTTTCTTCTGAAAGGTTGGGCTCCACTCGAAGCCACCAGGCTCCGTGCGAGGGAAACTGACAACGGAAGCCACAAGCGGCCAAACAAGTCCTACGGAGTGGCTCAAAAACCGCCGCCAGCGCTTGGCTTATTCAGGATTCGAACACACCTGTGACCACTCTGACAGAGTTTCTTAGATACATCCAAATGCTTGGATCCTCTAAGCTGGCACAGATTGGTACTGGCCCACATGAATCCTAGGTTCCCTTTCTGGCTGCAATGTCTCGTTCCATAGCCATGCAAAATCAGAAGCCATGACTGGTGGTCTCGCCACCAAAACGGGTTCGAAGTCCCTTTGACTCCCTAGAAGGTTGAATCGAGATTTCGGAGAATGAAACAAACCAGCAGATCCGTTTTCGTTTTTGCGACATGGGTCCTTTGAGAGACTGAACAAGCAGCCCTAGCTATTGAATTCCATTTGCCTAAACCATTTGAAACCAACAGGGAAAAATACAAAATATTAATTTCAGCAAATGAAGCCTGCATGCCTTGAAAAATGGTTGGTCATTACCCTAAAGTATGGTTGGTCATGGACCTACTTTTAAAGGGTCATGGAGACTCCAGGTACCCATAAAAAAGGGAATTCAACCCATAATTCCGGGGCTATACTCCATTTTCGCATGCTCGTTCTCTTGTTTGGCTCAAAGTAGGGGTCCGTTTTCACCGCGTTTGAAAAAAAACGCGAAGCATGTCTCTGATTTGTTGTCTCTCTGTCCCGTTTACGCGGGCATCGGCCTGAGTCACAAACGTTGCACCGGTTGTACTCCAAGCACCCTCCAATTGTTTTTTGAGCTATTCAAAGATCCCATGGTGAACATTCGTTTCATAAGGTGTGCGGCGCATGCCCTTTTGAGGTATATATGTTGGAGGGTTCTTGGAACAACTCCTTTTTGCTTGTGTTGTCAAATTGCGCCTCTAGAGGTCCCCTCCTTGTACCACTGTCAAAGCCGCACCATGAACTTTGACGTGCTTGAATGCCATGAATTCAATGGTGCTGCGAGGCTTTGCATGGACACATTGAAATTATATGGTCGACTTCTATGGCCGATCTATCGTATAGTTCGCGATTGGTTTACTTGCACTTTCAAATTCTAGGGATCAACCGTATGATCTCTTGAGCTGACATCCATGAGCCGCAAACTTGTTCTGACCCTTGCCCCGCCTGCTTGGTCGCTGGGCCGAAGTCATTCAAATCCGTCGCCTGCAAGCGCCAATTGGAGCGTGCAATCAGGCTGCCACCATCACTCAACATGCGCAACCAGCATCCATACTGCGGATGGACGAAATCCATTTCGCACCCTTTGGAAGCCATGGGACGCCATTGTTGGTTGGTATTTACCAGGGAATCATCATTCTAGGGTCTCTTGGGTGGTGCAAGATTTCGCAACCATCCACAGTACCACACAAATCCTTTGAAAAGCTGCGCATCGCTCAGCAAAACTGATACGTCTGAGTCACACCTGGCTGGAGGATGAAATGCTGCACCCGTCATCCGCATCTCGTTAAGCATCGAGTTCGAGACGAAACTAACTTTGGGTTTCATCTGGCCATGCATGGGTCAAAAGCCAAATCGTACCCCCCAGTGAACATCCCAATCCCCAGTAAAATAGACTAAAATGCGTGGCGCACCTAACCCAAAATGGGATCTCATTGGTTTTGATCCACAGCCATCTGAGTCTCCGTTTCAATCGCCAAAGGCTTCCTGGACTTCCCGAATCCCGCCTGCCGCAGGCAGTTGGGGATTTGGCCCTCTCCTGAGGCGCAGGGGATGTGCTAGTGCTTTGACCTGAACTTTGCCTTGTAAATGGTGGCTTCCCTTTATTTTGGTGGAAAAAGCCAGGTTTCAAATGGTTGCAAAATGGAGATCTTTAAGGAGCCCTGCGAGAGAATCGGGTGGTTTATCCATGTCAGGCATGCTTGTCTTCGGGGAGGGAAGGGTGGTTCATCCATTGTTTCAGGCACCAGCCAGTTCTGATTTGGGGGAAAGCTTCGCCAGGTTCGATTCCCAAGCCGAAACGCTTCCTGGTCGCGTGAAGTGCGGGACCAGCTGAAGCAAGGGAAAAAAAGGAGGTGAAAGCGCCCTGGAACGACTCAGGTCAGCTTTCAGGCACTGCCCAGGGTCGAGGGCAATCAGTCACTACATGCCTCCCTCAATCGTCTGCACTCAACTTCTCGCTTCCTGAGCGGACAAAACGAAGCTCAGACTGGTTTACCTTTCAGGGAGGAGACAGAACCCCAATTCAATTGTGCTAGCCATAGTTTGTTCGAAAACGGGAACATGGACCCATGAAACTACCGGAATTCGGGGTTCACCTCCCCCAATTCCATTGGAGGGGATGAGACAGGGTTTCAATGTGACCTTTAACTAACCATCACCAAAGAGAAACTGACCCAAGACAAAATGATCCTATGTTTCAATCCAACATGGGCAACAAGACAGAACTCTGGTTCAATTGGGCTATAGTTGTTTTCTAAAAAGGGGAACATGGAACCATTTTACTACCGGAATTCGGGGTACAGACCTGGAGGATCCCTCCCCCAAAAGGGGCGGCCGCATGCAGCCAAGGAGCCGGGTCCATTCGCCAACCCCCAGCGGAAGCGGCGCATCTCCCTCAGAGCGTCAACGTCTCGAGCGCGAAGTACAAAAAAGGCTCAGCAGACGAAACAGAACCAAACAAGTGCCCCCACAAAACCGGGCTGCCCTCTAAAAGTTTAACTTTTAATGGATTAAATGTTAATAAACCCCTGGTTGAGTTTGATTGGGGGGTGTCCCCTTTTAGTGGGGATTCAGACCTGGGTCAACATTAAACAGAACCAAACAAGTGCCCCCACAAAAGACATCCATGGCCATGACTTTGAATGGGGAACGCCAAGTGGTTGGTGGACACAGAATCCCCACTAAAACAATGTTGAGAACTGGACAAGGGAACCGTCAGTGCCTTGTCGCAAGATGTGTTTCAAGGGTCCAGGCAGATTCTCCAGACTTCGGTAACATCTGATCACATTTTCCGTTGCAAAGCCACTGTCTTGGGATATGTGAATCTTGTTTTCGCCCTTTTGCGCTAAGCAACGAGTCCCAGGAATCTGGCAGATTCTCAGACGGCCTTCACAACCCTAAACCACCCCAAAGGAAAACTCGGGTATAAGACCCTATAGTGGCTATGTAATTAGTGGTCGCATATCCCATTAAACCACGACATAGCCGCTATATGGGGTGTGTTCAGCACGATTTTCCACGGTTAGTGATTTGGGCGGAACCATCTTAGAACCATGCCCCTAGCATCTGCGACAATGCCTTGCGGCGGCCGAGACAGCAAACAGCCAAGCACGCAATACTCGGTGTACGGCCTGTATCGCTGCTGTCCTAGCGTGCAAGGCAACCACTCGTCAGATTCGAATGCAAACACGACATGATTGTGTGTCGTATACAAGGACCCCGCGACGGTTTTTGTTGGTTGTTGAACGCTGTGCAAAGGGGGTAAGCACATGCCCACATCATTTCCAGGGGTTCAGGAGCCATCTGTTACAAGACTTCGCTGCTTGGAAGCTTCACCCTGAAGATGTTCATGTTGCCAGCGCTCCCATGCAATTCACCACAATCCATCTTGATAGAGCCTACGTGCCATTCTGATTGGAATTGCACCGTCACCTCAAGAAGGTCATTTCAAGCAGAACCGCCAACTGGTTGGAAATGACAGCATGCCGATTGTGTGCTGGACCGCATTATGGATTGATCCAAAAAGGCCGTTTGATGCCATGCAAAAACATCTTGCCAAGCCTCTGATACTGACAGACCAGCAGCAAAACACATGCAGTCCTGGCACCTTTGGCAACAGCGGCTCAATGACCCACCTGAGATGCAGCAATCTGAAATCAGGCTCTCCACTTTGAATATATTCAGCTGCTGTGTTATATCTAGTCAACCTTAACAGAAAGTAGCATCTAAGGAGACCCCAAACACTGCACCTTTTAGGCCTAGATGCGTTTTCGCCCAATAAGGCCCCCGGAAAAGGAGTGCCAAGGCCACTTTCTGGGATTGCAGCTTGGCCAATCAGCCGATCTGCTTGAATAGCGACTGTTCCAGTGCAACTGTGGACGATCCGGGAGTGACCTGCTGGGGGGCTTTTCGGGGTTGGCAAGTGGGACATGTGCCCTGGCGCTGGAATCCCGCAAACTGACTGAGGCCGCCGCTTGAGCAAGTCGCACCTAAGCGCTAAACTCAACTTCTGGAGTCACCTGTGGCACTCATGCAGCATATTCTTCTTGGTTTCTGAGAGTAAGGAATGCAGGGATGACCATTTCACTAACCACTGTGTGTTCTGGCAGGGAATGATCAGAGGTTCATACCCAACTTCACATGATGGCATTGAAAGGTCAGAAATGCCTTGTTGAACTCATGTATGTGTTGGCGCTTCACTGCTCATGTCATATCATTTAGGCAGCGTAAAGGGACGGAATATTGATAAGCACAACAGCGGTTCAAAGCAACAACGATGGAATCAGCGACACTGAGTTAATTCAGTTGACTGAATTCAGTTTGGCGCTTGCATTTTGTCCCTCCAATGTCTCGTCTCAAGCTATTGAGTTGATGACAGGGTTGATCACTGTCAGTGATATAAACATTGGGTGTGCATTTAAGGTGCATTCTTGCTTCAACAAAATGTTGCTACATAGATCCGTTGCTATGACGCAACACCGCTGTAGTAAGGATGGATGACGGGAATCAGTGTGTTTGAGTCAGACTCATTCAAAGGAAACAGTGAGCAATCAGTCATCCCTTCTCCAACCTTGGATTCACTAAGCATGAAGCAGCATAATAAACCATCAAACAACATGACCTTTAACAAGTTCTCCAAGGGTTCCCTACACAGTCTTAAAGGGTTGAGTTTTGCTCCGCGTGTCAGATCAAAAGAAACACTAGCTACACAACCTGCAGGCACCCGTAAAACAAATGGCAATGCTTCCGCAGCCAACCTGCAATGGTTGCCAACTGCGAAGGTCAAACGACGTGCCTTCAACGCAGGTTCTGCCCGCCATCGAACAACTCTGACCCGTGACCCCGGACCCACAACCACTTTGTAAAACAAAACATGCTCCTAAAACCCGCGCACCCCTGTCTTCTAGACTGGGCGGTTCAAAGTGGAGGGTTGGCCAATCCGATTTTCAAAAGGTCTCAAAGATCAGCTAGCTGCCTTAAGGGGGTTAAGGGTTTAGGGTCTAGGGTTTGGGGTAACCCTAGAAACCCCCAACCCTAAACCCTAAGCCCTCAATCTTGCGGGAAAAAACATCGAGCGCATCCTTGCTTTTGCGGCAAAAAAATACATGGCATCTGATCTGGCTGCCTCGAAGAGGCTTGCAGGAGCCGGCAGAAGGCTTTTGGTTAGGGACAAATCCAACCCTCCAAAATCCAACCGCAACTTGCGGAGATCTGCAGCAGTACCATGTCGGCTGTTTCTGGGTAAAATCGTTTCCTTCCACTGACTGTTCCTGGGGTTGGCAAAATCAGAAAATGGATCCTTGTTGGTCCTGCCTATGGTTCTTTTTCATGATTCAAGTCAGCCCCTTAAGTGCTGGCTTAGAAGGAAAGCAACGGCCCATGTTCTGACTTTGCCAACCCCCAGAAACAGTTAGTGGTGGCTTGGAAGGAAACAACTTTGAGACCCAGAAACCGCCATCATAATGAACCCCATATTGATGAGGGTCAAAAATTGATACCTGAAATGGAACCCTGGTACATGGAAACAAGGACTAAAACCTGCGTTTTTTTTGTGGTTTACTTCTGACCCATACCCGTATCGTTTTTGGGGCGGGCGACCTTTCTGCAAAATCTCTTCGCCGCTTCGCCCTTCCGAGCCTGCGAGCCTCCCGCCCCTAGCACTACAGCTCAGGCTCCGGCAGCGCTGTGCGAATGTAGTGGTTCATACAGGGCTTGCAAATCCTGGCCGGAACCAAGTTCTACGAAGAATTTTCTGCAGCTGAGCTGCAAAAACCTGGAACAGATGAGACTTTGGCGCAAAAACTTCCAACCTAAATTCTGGTCACATCCCTCGCTTGACCTCATGGAATTAGCTGCAAGGCCTCTGAGCAAATTCAGGACAAGCGGGTCTTGCGTAAGACAGGGGGACCCCACTTTGCGGAGAGCTTCAGAGGAACACAAAGTTAAACCCATCGATTTGGAGGGTCTCCCTAGTTTGAGGAAACCACCAAATGAGACCCCTCTCAGCCACAACTGGATCATGATTGACGCTCGTCCCCCTTTCACCGGAAAAAGGCTCCCCCGTACACTCTTCTCGAAAGAGCACTCATCGGACACCCCGCAGTGCGCCCTCAACCATGCTGTTCTTGTCAGACTGAGAAGTGCATCAAGTTTCCCACCTGGACGCGTTGTGGTCAATGGTTCTTTGCGCCGAATTCAACCTGTGTCCCGTGTCCACCAAGTCCTGCAAGTACTCTTAAGCAAGCCACAGGGCCAGCATACAGACACAACCATAGGTGTCCTTTTGGTGAAGTAGATGGCACTGAGAATTGGAAAAGCCATCCAAACCCGTGGAACCTGTCTATGTCTAACCGAACTCTCCGAAGCACAGTGGACACAACCAAAAAGGCTACTGTCTGCGCTTGGTAATTGGGAATGTAGGAGTCTCCCCCAAGACGCAAACAAGCGCCACGTTCCACAAAGCGGAACATGGCGCAACGCCGCGTCAAATGCGCAAAAAATGACACCGAAGGACAGAGGGTTAGACAGGTGATCAGCCTTGGCAAAGAAGACTAAGACGGCTCTGTCCCGACCTGTCACAACACAGGCAAAAGCCATGTCCCAATGCCTGACTTCCGGCGGCATGTTCCGGATTTCAGCGCCAGCGGTCAACAAAGTGCTGGTTTGAGATAATCAGACCCTCAATGCATCTCTGCCAGCTTCACAAACCTGTTCAGAGTGTTCATTGCTTCTGCCGGGTTCACAAGCATCTGCAACTGGAGGGTCCTTAGCAAAAACAGAAAGCCATCGGCAACAAGACCCGTGACCAAGCAGTCTACTTGATCGCAAATTGATTCTCATGGCTACAATGGCAGTGGAGCTGCTAATTGTCCATAATCTCGGTGGTTTCCCAGCCAAATTCTACCCACTTGACGCTCCAACGGACCAACCAACCAACCAACGGACCGTGTTTCGCGAGCGCGGTTTTTGCAAGCCGCGCCTCCGCAGGTGCGTCAGCAGTATGCAGGCACGGGGCCAATCCTAAGGGAAAACAAATCCGGAAAGTCGACAAGACTTGAGCGGCGCCGACCTTGGGTTCCAACATGGTTATCAAGGTCTATGTGTCCATGAAACCCTAGAACTACTATGGCAACTCTCTGCATTGGCGCAATAGTTGTGCTAGGGAGCTGCAAGAACCTCCAGGCGGACGTGCTAAACATGGAGCCTCAAGCAAGCGGTAGTTTAACGGAGACTTACCAACGAGGAGACTCAATGCCAATCAAAGATTCACTCACCTCATGTGTGGGTGGTCCTGTTGTTTTCTTGCTCAGGGGACGCGGAAAAACAAATGCTGTTTCGAGTTGGCAACACGGGGCAAACGGACGCACGCCACGCAGACTGGCGCACAGCCCTTATCTCGTGCCTGAGGCTCCTGGCATTGATGCTGATCATGGCTTCCACCAGGCGAATCTTCTGGTTCAGCATCTGGTTGAAATTCTGGCGCCCCAGAACCGGCCAGCCGAAGTTGAAATTCTGGCAGGCACTTTGAAAGGTTGAAATTCTGGCAGGCGCTTGACAAGTCGCAGGCAGCCAGAACTAGAACTGGCCAGCCGGATCAGCCCTGGACTCTGGCACTTTGAAACGAGTCTCCAACCGGAGGCAGCCAGAATGAGAACTGTCCAGCTAGATCAGCCAGAATGCTGGACTCTGTCGTCACACAAGAACGGAGACAAAAGGGGTACCACTGTATTACAGCGTCCCAGGCGGCAAAAAGTACCACTCACTATTGCAGCGCCCTCGCTGGCAAAAATAAAACCCCGCGGGCATGAATTCCTCGCTTACGGTGTTTGCTTGTATTGCAAACATCGTTTCGGCCAAAGGCAACCAGAGTCTTTTACCAGGTTTCGCATTGACACGGTGTCCAATGGTTGCCTGCTTTGGACCCGGGTTTGGGCAACTTTTCTTTTGTAGACGAAGAATTCTTCTTAATAAGGCAGCAAACAATTGTCGAGCCACATAGTCGGTTTCTGGGGCCCTGTATTTCTGATTTCTCAGGCAAACACTCTCGTGACCACACTGTGCCCGATTCAAAGGGTTTCACACGAGAGATGGCCATCCGAAATCCTGCGCCTTGACACAGCCGTTGAAGAACCGCTTGTCCTGCAAAGGTGACAAGTTCCGGCCAGGTCAACTGGCTTCCTAATAGGGAGGGTCCACGAAACAAACTTCTCCCAGCTGCTTTGGGCTCGAGTGCAAGGCGTCGCTCAAAAGATGGGCAGGGTGGTCAATTGGTTTCCCTATGAAACCCTTCCACATCCTTCGACAAATATCAAACCCTCATGGCCCGAGGTCCTTGATACCAGGGTTTTCATGCAAACCATTGGCCAGAGATGCCAAAGAAACACCTGACACACGTTGGCATGAATTCACAACATGAAGCGTTTCATGTTTTGCTTGTCTGATTGACTTCGGCGTTCCTCCTAGAAACATGTCTTGGCCCGCTTTGTGGGAATTCGGTCCCAAGAATAGGGCTCGAGAATCTTGGGTTCTGATTGAACCAGGATTTCACCTGGAGCCACAATCAAGACCTGATATTCAAAACATGCCCAACCCCATGGTTCAAAACGAGAGCTTCTTGCCTCAGCTTGCCCATTGGGACTCCCCAGACACCAGACACTGGTCTTTTTCTGATCGCTGAACGCAACTTGGCCAGTCCCGCGCCAAGTTTGACTTGCCCGAGAGGTCCACGGTACTGACGGTCTTCAACTTGGCCTTGCCAGCAGACGGCGCCTTCTGTGGCTGAAAGATACCAGCAAAGAAGCAGCCAAAGTAAAAAAGATCTTCAGCACCCCAAAAGCTCTCTTGGGTATGTTTTTTTTGAGGGTACCTGTTTTGGAAGCTGTTTAAACGGGTTCCCGCAAGAGAGGCCACTTGGAGGAAAGTAAGACATTCGGAAACTAATTCATCAGGCAACAAAACAACAAAACACCCGAAGCGACGAAGATTGAAGCCCCAAAGCTGTCTTGGCTTTCTGAGCTCATGGCGAGAAATGTCCGAACTGAGAGCGCATACTGTGATCGGCATGCCCAAGAGACGTATGCATTGCACAACCCCCAGAAAAGCGATCTTCATCAAACGGAACGTCCGTTGCAGAATGCCGTTGCAAATGCGGTATTCAATGCACCAAACCCAAGTCGGGCATCATCCAAGTGACGATCGGCCGTACATCTCAAATTGCGACAGGTTCCTCCCAAACACCAAGCTGGTATCTTTTCTGGCGATATCTCCCTCTGGGCCCTACTGTACCTTCGCTCTGGTGGGCCATGGCCTCGTATCTCCGGTTCAGCATGTGCCAGGCCCTGAGCGTTTGGACATGCCGTGACATCTGGCCACCCGTGACCAAAGGCAATCAGTCGTCGGACCGTGTTGGTCCAACGACTTGTCGTAGATTGCATGCTATCAAGGCACGAGTTGATGGAGCAGCTTGTCTAGCAAACATCTGTATGATTATAAATCATCATGCTAATACACACCATTTTGGGGTGGATACTTGACGGATCACCTTTGGGGCTGTCCCATCACAACTAATCGTGCACATTCACGAGGTTCTCTTGATCCATACCAAACCTGAAGGCTACGCGGTGATGCCGAATGCCCGTGAATAAATGTCTGAACGAAACCAACAACTACAGTGGTCCGTGGATTTCTCCCTTGAACAATTATAATCAAAACCCGGTATTAAGAATGGTCGACCCAGAATGCAAAGAATTGAAAAGGCGGATGTCCGCACCCATTTGTGGCTGGGATTCTCACTTAACCTCCAACTACCCGAATCAGTTTTGATTGTGACTCAGTTGCAATTTGCTCAGAACCAGATTGTGACTCAGTTGGAATTTGCTGAGAACCAGATAGTTGGAATTCCAGATTGTGATTCAACTAGCTCATAAGGTCCTTTCCCTATTCTAGGGGTTGATTCCCCATTCTTTTCCACCATCCTTCTTTTCAATGACCAGCCATTTCCCCAAAGTTTATGGTGGTCTTCTAGCAAGATCCGGATCCCTGGAAAGACTGGAAATGGAAGTTTCCCGGACCCATGCCACTCTTGGGGGTCCCAAAGAAGCCGTGCTCCGAACACCGAAAAAACTCCCCGCGGCTCCCCAGCTGCGAGCTGCGGCTCCGGGCTCGTGGATCCGCTTCTCGCAGGGCTCCAGGTAGGACCAGAGGGTCTGGTCCCAGTCAGACAGTCGCGGCCCGGCGGGGAGAGATGGGGTGCTCTGTGAGATTGTTTTTTGCCTTTTTTCCCACCTGGGCGTGGCGTTTGCAAGCTTGGAGCCCGCAAAATGGCGAACCACAAAGATGGGGTACCTCGACAAAAAGACACTTGAACTTGTGTGGGTGTTGCGAAGCCAAGATGGTAAGATATGTTGATCCAATCCTGTGTGGCCCTGTGCCACTCTTGGGTCTGGACCAAACAGAGGAGCAAAGCGGCAACCAACTTTACAAGCCACTGGTTCAATCAAGGTGACAGCAGAGGATCTGAAATTCTCCAGAAATACCCAAGAGTTACAGTAAGCTTTTACTGTGGGCAAGCGGGGCATTGTCCGTCCCATCTCCCCAACCTCCACAAAACACCCGTTTCAGTCGGGGCATTGTCCGTCCCATCTCCCCAACCTCCACAAAACACCCGTTTCAGTGAGCGTAGTTGGAAACTCCAAGCACTGTTGCTCGAGCTTAACGCGCCGCTTAACGTGTTGGAAGGAAGTCCAAAGCAGACTTGGAGCTCGGAAAAACTCGGAAAGCCGCGTAAATCATATGGCACGGCCCTGACCTTAAGGTCCTCCAGTTGAGAGGTTAGAAAAAGTTGGTACCCGATTCTTTTTCTGTAGTCTATTTTAGTAGCAGGACCCTCTCCACAAAAAAAGGGGTGAGAAAGGGCACTGGGGGACCCAGTTAAGAACGCATCTTTGACCTCTCCGAATATGTTTTTCATAGTTGTCGCAGCACCTTCCTAAAGCCGGCCTTCTGCCACGCCTGACAATCCACATGCTGTCTCAGGCGGTGATGTTACCTGTTCCAAGGATTGGCCCCAAACAAATGTCGATTATTTTGATTCCTGTGGGTTTACTTTTGGTTCCCACGATCCGCCTCATGTGTTTCCAAAAACCTTTGGGGATGTCTGACCAGGGAGAATACGCATCCACACCGCGCCGACGCCCGAGAGCGGCCGTGCCTTAAGATCGATGCAGTTCTGGGCAATCAGCGATGCCACTGCAACAAACTGAGATAACCTGGCCATATGCCAATGAGAGAGCTGCAGTTTTGGACATCAAACGAGTGTCGGCCCTCTAAATCGCAAGTGAACCTCCAATGGTCCAAGCCAAATGGGAGTCGCGGACAGTGTCCCCCGTCCTTCTTGCGTCACTTGGGCCAAGCTCCGCTCAGACAAGCTTTCATGGGTCAAACTGAGTTGACACTAGTTCCGCCATGTTGAATGGAGTTGGAGGGCATCCTTCCCATGTTTCGTAGATAAAGCAAAAGGGCAAATCATGGCTATATGGCGGATCCATGAGCACAGGCTACCTTCCGCTCAAAACTCATCTCGTACGTCACTCCGGTTGCTTGCACCCTGGACGGACAAGCGGCAAAGGCGCAAAGGCCTCCTCAAGTCAACCTGCGCCACAAATTTCCCAAGCACAATGGCCTTCACTGTGAGAAACACGCCAGAAGCCGCGGAAACCGCAAGAATCCATCCTCTGTTCAGGTGTCTAGTGCTGCGATTCAGGTAGTGTACCCTTCAGGTAGCGTACCCCATGTCATCCTCTGTTCAGTGTAGAACATGAAGAATGATTGTGGCAGGGTTGGGCCAATAACCTCTTCAAACCACACACGTTTGAACAACCTCTTTTCGTTCTCCTCTATTTGAGACCAGCCATGGTCTTGCTTTTTTTCGGCAGCCAAGCCTGGACTGTTTCCTTGGCATGGATGTCACTGCCTGAAGGCTGAATTCTAGGGGTTGGCCGCCCTCCCTTTTGACCCATCGTTCTGTTCAAAACTTCAAAAGCTGACCAACTATTGGCGTGTGACCCTCTCAAACTGCCATCGCAAAAACGTCGCGGTTGGACCTCCCCCTGTCCCCGCAGCTTGTTTCCCGCCAGCCTATGGTTCTGCTCCTTTGTGTCCTTCCCTGCGATCAAGGTGAACAAATTGACCCAGGTGCGTCTGTTTTAAGTGGCCTGGATTGAAGGTAAACCAATTGGGATCACCGTTGTATGCATGCATGCATGTACGCATGTATGCATGTGTGCATGTATGCATGTTACGTTTGCGTGTATGGTATGCATGCATGCGAGGCTGTGTATAGAAAAGTTAACATGCAAGCGTGTAGAGATGTCTGCGTGTTTTCATGTATTCGTGTATGCGTCTGTGCGTGTATGTGTATGAGTGCGCGCGAGCGTGCGTGCGTGCGTGCGTGCGCGCGTGGGTGCGTGCGTGCGTGAACGCGTGCGTGCGTGCGTGCGTGCGTGCATGCGCGCGGGCTATGCGTGCGTGCGTGCGTGCGTGCGCCGGTGCGTGCATGCGTGGGCGTGCTGGCGCGCGGGCGGGCGGACGGGCGAGCGGGCCGCGTGCGTGCGTGCGTGCGTGCGTAGGAGTGTGTGTGTGTGTGTGTGTGTGTGTGTGTGCCTGCGTGCCTCCGTGCATGCCTGCGTGCCTGCGTGCCTGCGTTCCTGCGTAACTGCGCGTGTCCTTGCGCGTGCACGTGCGCGTACGCGTGTGGGGGTGCGTGCGTCTATGTGTGTGTGTGTGTGTACTTGTGCATGTGCGTGTGCATGTTCGTGTGCGTGCGCGCGTGCGCGTGCGCGCTCGCGGGCGTGGGCGTGGGCGTGGGCGTGAGCGTGAGCGTGGGCGTGGGCGTGGGCGTGGGCGTGGTGGGCGTGGGCGTGGGCGTGGGCGTGGGAGTGGGCGTGGGCGTGGGCGTGGGCGTGGGCGTGGGCGTGGCGTGCGTGTGTGTGTGTGTGTGTGTGTGTGTGTGTGTGTGTGTGGGTGTGCGTGTGCGTGTGCGTGTGCGTGTGCGTGTGCGTGTGCGTGTGCGTGTGCGTGTGCGTGTGTACTTGTGCATGTGCGTGTACATGTTCGTGTGCGTGCGCGCGTGCGCGTGCGCGCTCGCGGGCGTGGGCGTGGGCGTGAGCGTGAGCGTGGGCGTGGGCGTGGGCGTGGGCGTGGGCGTGGGCGTGGGCGTGGGCGTGGGCGTGGGCGTGGGCGTGGGCGTGTGTGTGTGTGTGTGTGTGTGTGTGTGTGTGTGTGTGGGTGTGCGTGTGCGTGCACGTGCGCGTACGCGTGTGGGGGTGCGTGCGTCTATGTGTGTGTGTGTGTACTTGTGCATGTGCGTGTACATGTTCGTGTGCGTGCGCGCGTGCGCGTGCGCGCTCGCGGGCGTGGGCGTGGGCGTGGGCGTGAGCGTGAGCGTGGGCGTGGGCGTGGGCGTGGGCGTGGGCGTGGGCGTGGGCGTGGGCGTGGGCGTGGGAGTGGGCGTGGGCGTGGGCGTGGGCGTGGGCGTGGGCGTGTGCGTGGGCGTGTGTGTGTGTGTGTGTGTGTGTGTGTGTGTGTGTGGGTGTGCGTGTGCGTGTGCGTGTGCGTGTGCGTGTGCGTGTGCGTGTGCGTGTGCGTGTGCGTGTGCGTGTGCGTGTGCGTGTGCGTGTGCGTGTGCGTGTGCGTGTGCGTGTGCGTGTGCGTGTGCGTGTGCGTGTGCGTGTGCGTGTGCGTGTGCGTGTGCGTGTGCGTGTGCGTGTGCGTGTGCGTGTGCGTGTGCGTGTGCGTGTGCATGGCATGGGCATGCGCATGCGCATGTGCATGTGCATGTGCATATGGATCTCGATTGTGTTTGTATATATATATATACATGTTCGCGTGTATGTGCGTGGATGGATACGTGTGCGTGTGTTTTTGTGGAAGTGTGCATCTATGCTTGCATGCATGTGTGCATGTACATGTAGGCCTGTAAGCATGTGTGCATTTTTGCCTGTAGGTATTGATGCTTTTACGCATGCATATATGTTCGTACGCATGCGTATATTTACGTACGTATGTATGAATGCATGTACTTTTGCATAAATGTATGTATCCATGCATTTGCTTATGAATTTCCGTAAGAGGCGTGTTTTGCATGTATGCAGCTGTGCATGCATGTACACATCATATATGCATGTATGCATGCATGTATCTATGAATCTATCTACGGCGCTCACAAACGAAGGTCAATTGGTGTTTTACACTACCTCCGGAGCCGACCGGCCCGGCCCGGCCAGCGCTGAGCATCCGGAAGTAACACGCAAGACTTTGAAAACAGGAAGCAAGCTCTGATGCCTTCACCCCGCGGCCCGCCCTCATGTTTAGTTGATGTGGTTGTGTGTCAAAACCAATGGTACCATTTTGGGGCAGGTGCACCACCCATCTTACCTACTTTAGTGGGGATTGGGATGTTCACTGGTGGTACGGGATTCTGACCCATGGCCATGTGTTTGTGCTGTAGCTGTATCTTTTTTTGTACCAGCCAACATACTGTAGCTCACGCAGTTAAGGTGGGAATGGCTGCGTCTCGTCGGGGTGAGGAAACAGCAATGCGGGCTTTCACACACACACACACACAGACCTGCGTTTTCTCAGCAATAATATGGCCATGGGTCAAACTTCGTACCCCAGTGAACATCCCAATCCCCACTAAAATAGGTTCTAAAATGGGTGGTGCACCTGCCCCAAAATGGTACCATTGGTGTTGACCCACAGCCAGATCTGGGTCTTGAACGACGCAACCCAAAGCAAACCTCTGCCTAGTTTGCCTGCACAACAAGTCCCTGATTCGGGTGATTTCCAAAATCTTGGCAAGTTGTACCATGGTGCTGTGGTTGAGTGTGGTGGACTTACTTGCAATATTTAGTGCATCAGCCGTATTGCGCTTGCCACCCTCTGCATGCCTGCGTTTGCAGGAGGTGGGCCGCTGCTAAGCAGAAATGAGGCGACCTGTCCATCTGGTGAGGCGGGTTGGCGCTTTCTGCACCACACTCGTGGCCAACATCACGTGGCCAAGTGTAGACCCACGCAAAAAGTTGACTTTTGGCGGCTTGAAGGGAAATGAAGGAGTGAATATTCATTCGGCGAATAACGTTGTTTTTTAAGTAAACCCTGAGTGTGCCCAATGTCATTCACCTTGCGACAATAAATGACGGCAACACATGACCGTCGATCAACCAAAGTCTGGGCATGCAAAGCTTTAAGTCAACGATATTCTGATTAGGGCGCAACGGATGGTCTATTGTGGAATTGCAACAGTTTGACAGTTATCCATCGCTGAATCGTTTTAGGCAAACTAGAAATCAGCGCAACGCGGTCTATATAACCTTCATGAGTTGAAATGCATGCATGAAACCAAAAGAAGAAATGTTGAAAGTGGAGCAATGCTATGGAACATCCCGACCAGGTATTTGTCAAACAAGGGAAAGTGTGTGTGGTTGGGTAAATGATGATGTCTTTCATACTGCAACAAAACGGGCTGTTACATTTGACACATACCGAAAAAGTTTGGGTGCCCCTCCAGAGACGGCCAGCCTGCCTAGGGGGGTGGAACCATTCAAACGCCGGAAAAGCCAAGCCCAGTTTCCATCAGCTTTTCCAAATTCTTTCTGAGAGTTCAGGTGGGACAACTTGGGGGGCATCGGGAGCCCTCCCCTTTTTCGAAGCAACACGCTCGAGAAAGCTCGGTCAGTACCATGCGGAAGGGACGGATGGACCGCGAAGCATGGGTGGCTTCCCTTTGGCTTCCCCAACAAAACACCAACCAAACACGATCCCGTCAGCCCCAATGCTGACATGGCCCCGTTTCGGACCTTTGGGACCATCGCAACGGAGCTTGGTGCGAAATGAAACGGATGTAGCACCAACCAGCCAGCCAACCGACCAACCAATCAACCAATCGACAGAACGACCGAATGCATTAAGCAACCAACCAACCAACCAACTAACCAACCAACCAACCAAGCAACCCCGAAACAACCGCAGGAACCAACCAACCAGCCAGCCAGCCAGCCAGCCAGCCAGCCAACCAACCAACCAACCAACCCAACCAACCCAACCAACCCACCCAACCACCCAGCCAACCAACCCAACCAACCCAACCAACCCAACCAACCCAACCAACCCAACCAACCAACCAACCAACCAACCAACCAACCAACCAACCAACCAACCAACCAACCAACCAACCAACCAACCAACCAACCAACCAACCAACCAACCAACCCCGAAACAACCAACCAACCAACCAACCAACCAACCCCGAAACAACCGCCAGCCAGCCAGCCAACCAACCAACCAACCAACCCAACCAACCCAACCAACCCACCCAACCACCCAACCAACCAACTAACCAACCAACCAACCAAGCAACCCCGAAACAACCGCAGGAACCAACCAACCAGCCAGCCAGCCAGCCAACCAACCAACCAACCCACCCAACCAACCCAACCAACCCACCCAACCACCCAACCAACCAACCAACCCCAAAACAACCGAAACAACCGGAACAACCAACCCCGAACAACTGGAACAATCAACCAACTGGAACAGCCAACCAAGTGGAACAACCAACCAAGTGGAACAACCAACCAACCGACCGACCAACCAACCAACCTGAACAACCAACCAACCGGAGCAACCAACCAACCGGAACAACAAACCAACCGGAACAACCAAACAGCCAACCAAATAAACACATATACAAAGGGAAGTAAGGCAAGTCAAGGGTCGAAGGTGAAAAGATGGGTTCACTTCGGGCATGTCATCCTTCCTCACCACTCATCCGCCCCCTTTTTTTGCTTCACCCTATCCATGTAAGTTCCTTTTTAGGACTCCCACAGGGTCAAAATTGGTAGCAACTGCTTACACAAGGGGTGTCGAATTGTGCCTAAGCCCAGGCTACCTGAAGGGAAGGCAGTGGGGTCCCCCAATTCCATTCCTAGTCCGCGAACAAGATGGACATTGGAACCACAAAGGGAACAGGAACGCTCCCAGTTCCATCTTTAGGTGAAACTTGGCACAACTGCAGCCCTTCAGCCAGAGTAAAGTGAAAATTTGTGGAGCTTTAAAGGGGATCACTCTCCTGAAAAAAGTCTAGCCTCGACTTCATAGAGGCCCTACCCGCCCTCCCGCCGAAGCGCCTTGGAGATGCGATCCCGGCCAAAGCGCCGCAGCAAGGCCACCTCGGGAGATGAGTCGTGGCTATGAATCTTCCACGGGGAACTCCGCTAGGTCCAGTAGAGAGGTTACAATAACGGTACCACCTGTTTATCTGTAGTCTATTTTAGGGGAAGCCTCCCCGGAAAAGGGGTGAGAAAGGGCACTGGGGGACCTAGTCCTTCAGAAGTTTTAGTGGACCTGAACTAATCCCACGGCAGCTTGGGCGTCCAAAAGTTCCGGAAGGACATTGCGTGACCAAGTATTAGAATGACTGTTTCTTCTTGTTTTTCCAATTTTTGACATCAAAGGACATTTGATTGGAGAAGGAGGGCAGCCAGGATTTCCCACTGAATCGCCCGACAAAGGCCCAAATCATTCACCCAGTTGTTCCCTTTTACTCACTCCAAGGATCTAGATCAGAATTCATTTGAGTAAATAGCAGCAGTTAGAGTCGAGGTTTGGGGCACTTCTCATGCACCTGTTGGCGGGGACTTCTGAAGACTGTGGTCAGAATACTAGCCTCTGTCCGTGGCGAGTATCTTTGCTTGCTGAGACCATCAGCTTCCTTGATTACCGGCGGGAGGATTTATCAAGCATGTCCAACCGTTCAGAAGACATCAAGCCGCTTGAATGACCCACCCTTCAAACTGATCGCAACACGCCTGCGCTGAGCAAGAGAGCCAGCGCTGTTCGTCAGGCGCCACAGAGATATGCACCAGGGTTCATGCGTTGCTCCCTGGCCCAAAACAGCATGAGGTCGTACAGTGCACCCAACGTTCATGTCTGGCTGGGGGGCGGATAGGTAGAGAGAGACAAATTGATAGATGGACAAATAGATGGATCACCGCCGTAAAAGCGAGAAAGCAAAGACCATTTCGTGCCTACACTCGCCATTGAATAATACTCATCAGGCTCTTCACACCGCCCCACTGCAAGTTTGCTGAACGGATTGTCAATAGGGGGTCCTTTTGCGACCGAGCAGTGTGCGCCTGAAATCAGGGAAGCAAAACGAGTTCATAGTGTTAACAACCAAGCGCCCTTGATGCCACCAACAAGCAGTGTCCTAGTGAAACAGTCTCATAGATATAGAAACCGTTTGCTTGGAATATCAGTGACGCAAGCAAAGCTTTCGAATGCTTCTTGTTGGTACATCTCAGGATCCGCTTATTCTCCAACATGCCCGTTTCCCTCAAATCCTTGCAGTGAAAATAACGCATCGCATCTTACTCAAAACGGCAAAGCTGCAAGTCCTAGCTGCAAAAACCCGTTTGACAATCATGCACCCTTCGGGCCGGGTTTGGACAAGAAGCCTGATGAGACTGTTGGATGCTTCTTGCTAGAAGCGCATTGTTCATGAACCTCACAACTCAAGACCCCCAGCCCCCTGTTGAAACCCCATTTGGCGAATGGGCCTCCTAGTTTCACCCCAGCAAAGCTGAATTGTTGGGTTCTTTGCCAAGGTTTCGAGTCCCTGGATTGGCATACGTGCCAAGTCATGGCAACTCAAATATATATATATATATATATACATATATATATATATATGTGTGTATTGAAAAAAAGTCTTCCCCCCTTCCCACTTACATGGACCCTACCCCAGGGTATTGGTGGGCAGGATGTACATTGAGGCCTAAAATTGGAGATGTAGAACAACTTGTTTGAACTGCCTGACTTATTCATATTTGCCAAGAAACGACACATCAATTAGCAAACCTAAAAAAAAGAGAATCTGAGACTCCAGCTAACGCCTGAGGACGCTTGCTGGGCTCTTCCTGGCCAGTCACTTCAGGTGACGCCACCCACAGGGTCTCTGCATCATTGGAAAACAAGCCTATCATTCACCATTAGGTTTGACACATTCAGATGATCTTCGGCTGACAAAGCCAAGGGCGTAAGGCAAACAGGTGACTCGACTCAAGCAAGAATGCAAACGCATTGTGGCACATGTGCCACGTGATGTCATTCTCTGAGTCTTCCTGGATTGTTGACAATGTGGGATCCTCAACCTAATCCCTAATTCGTAGTGGGAGACTTCCAATAAGGGAAATCATTATCCGTGGCATAAGAATGCAGGCTCAACCACCTCGTCAATGATCAGCTTCTCATAGATGTCGATGGCCATGGCGATGATCCTGGCAACGACAAACCCATCCGCTTTCGAAAAAACTACATAGGCTGCGATGACCAGCCCAATCTTTGCGACGCCGTCCATGGAGCTTCGACCAAGAGTGGGAAGACAGTGGCAAAACCAGTGAAAATTGCAAGCATCAGTGATATTGCCATTCTGCGTCCTAGATACGAGTACTCGGCAATGAGTCAAACCATGCGTGTCAGTCGAATAGACAAACAGCTTGTCAAAGGCACTGTGCCGTCGTAGGCCGTGCTCAAATTTGCCCAGCTTGGGGAACTGAGCTAGGGGAACATGCAAAGTGCCCTCAAAACAGAATAGTTGATAATGGTTATGGGTGGTGACTTTCCTTTGGGGCCGAGCCCTACGTTGGTTGGCTTACAAGGGAAACCAAACAGGAAATCATTGTGGCGACTCATTTCCTGATTTTGAGGCCCTCTCACTTCCCACATCGCTTAGCTTTTCCGCCGATGCCTACTCTGGACTAGTGACTAAGCCGACCCAAGGCCCGAGGGCATGCGCGTCAGTGGCCTGTTGGGGCAAAGATAGCTGTGCCCCATCAGCAGCATCACCTGGACCAAGATCTGCCGTTTGCGCTGGCTTATCAATAGAAGTGGGCCAGTGAAACAAATGGTTTTCCCACAGCCTCAAACCAGGGCGGGGGAATGGAATCCACTTCTGTGATACAACGGAAAGGGCTTCCCAAAAACTATTGTGTTCATATAAAGGGGGATTCTCTTGTATCACAGAAGTGGGGAGAAACCCCTTGATCCCACAACCCTGCCTCAAACTGATGTAGGAAAACCATCCCAAAGGGCAATGCAGGCATCAAATTGCGTGTGCCCAATGCATTAGATGTTCTGTGTTTCATGGCATCGCAACATGAGGCGCCCTCAGCACTTCCGTCGCTTGGAAGAACAAGTCCCACACGAAAGCCTGATCTATTCCGCAAAAAAAAGCAACCACGCCAAAAAAAAACAAAAAAACAAAAACGGAATGCTGACTCACGCTCCCTCCAGGATTGCCCACAATCCTAACAGCTCGAAGGGTTTTTTCTCCGGATTACGCCCAGGGCAGCTTACTCCATCCTGGTCTATTTCCGTATCATTCCCGGGCCAGGTGGCTCGATTTTTGCAGGTGAACTCCAAGGCTCGTCCGCGACGCTCTCGCCGAGGCTCGGGCATCATCGATGATGACTTGTCTCGTCTTGTCCAACTCCGCGGCATCGGTGCCCTGCGCCGGGGAAGCTGAGCACCCCAAAATACCGAAAAATCCGCGTACCTCAGCATCATCTACTCAGGAGGGGCTTCCTAACGCAAAGGCGCTCTCCCGGCCACATGGAAGAAGCATCACAATTCGATGTTTATAGTCATGTGGCCAGCAGCAAGCTCGTCTGTTGGTAGGCTGTGTTCAGGCGGCTTCAGAGTCTGCAAATCGGACCAGGCAAAACCAAATCCACGCGTGAGGATTCTCGTGTTTCTGGCGTCCAGGCGATGTCAAAGTGTAGAGTCAGCGGCTTCACAGTTCTGTGGGGAATCAACTGGTGTAGGAGCTATCACTGCTTGCCATATTTTGGGCACATGGCAGAGTGGCAAAGTGCCACATATGCCTCAGCCGGATCACACGGTTCGGAGCCAAAAACAAACCAACCATCATTGGCAACCCGCTATGGAAGGACACGCCACCCATTTCAGGCTTAAGCTCTGCTTCGGCCTGCAACTGTGAAGGATCCCTACAGGCAGAGGCATGTGCCCGGAATCATTGCCGCCAAAAAACAAACTTGCAAAATCCATGTTACATCGAGTTTCCGAAAGATGGTGGCAAGCCTCCTTAAAATCCATGCGAGAAACCCTCGTGGATGGATACTGTCAACATCCCCTTTGCCAAGCCAAATCGAGCCTGCAGGTCGCTGTCCAAGTGGAGCAGCTTGTCTATGTACATAATCCTCGGAGCGGTGTCGGGAGCTGAGTGGGCCAAGTTCTGCTTGATTCAGGCCTCGGAATTGTATGACCAAAACGCGGATGCATGTCATGGAGGCAACTTCTCCTTGCCAACCGCATGCTGAACTTCATGGAACAACGGCCGCGGCGGTATCATAATGCTCGGTGCACTTTGCGAGCCGGTTTTCAGACTCAGGTCTGACGGCAAAGGTACATGGGGACCAGGCTGGGCACGCCGTCCTTGAGTTCCAAACAAACGGGTTACCTGTTTCTCGATCCCTCTTTTACGCTGCCAATCGGGTGTGGTTGTCAAGAAAAGCTTACCCCAACATGGCTTGCCCTGGTAGATTGAAACAACTACTAAAACCAGCGGTCCCCTGGTCGTTGCATTTTGACCCATACCCAAACAGGAATTCTACAATTTGGTCGAACATGGTGGAACAAAAGGGACATGTGCTGGACCCCTGCTCCACGAAACCAGGTGTCAGAGCAGTGCCCGTTTGGGAGTCTGTCTCTGCCCTACCCGAGGTTCACGGGAACATCATGGCCTTCACGGGCGACCCAAGTCCTGCTATGTCGGCAAACAACTTGCTCTTTGCAGTTGCACCAACAATCAGCTTACCACTAATTGGTGGTTTGGATTGGTGGCAACCTGAAACCATGAGCAAAATTGAAACAGCCAAAAAACAACATACAAAACAGTGAAGCAAAACACTTGGGCTTGTCTTCAAATGTGGGCCCCAAAAAATGGGTGGTTTCTCTTTGAAAGCCCCCGAGCACGGGGGGACCCTGTTCAAAAAATGCCCGCATGACGAGTTGGCGCGCACCTTGAACCAAGCCCTTCTGGCTTAAGGACATTCGCAAACTCTCCAACTGAAGCTTTGAGCGCACATCCCTCACACCAGTTGTTCATTTCCAATGACCCCTTTTGGATGGCTGAGGGCGCCCTGAAAAGGATCTCCCAGCCACTTGGGTGGGCCATGTTTTTTTGCATTTTGGATCTCGCTGAGATGCCGACAATCTGGCATAGCCCTCATTGTGCTCGCGGAGGAGGTTGAACCTGTCGAAATCAATGCGTATGAGCCATGATCAAAACTTGCGTTTGTGGGCTACGGCTCCCCGACCACAAACCCTTGCCATTCATGTCTAAAACCCCTGTTAAGGAATCCCTGACCACCCTGCTAATCCCAAGTAAAAGGGGTCTTTTGACGCGAGTACATAACATGCCTGGCGATGGCAATCCGACTCATTGCTACAAGATAAGATAACATAAGATAAGATAAGATAGATGGATAGATTAGATTAGATTAGATTAGATTTGATTAGATTAGATTAGATTAGATTTAGATTAGATTAGTTTAGTTTAGATTAGATAGGTAGATTAGATAGATATATCAGATTGATAGATATATTAGATAGTTAGATAAGATAAGATAAGATAAGAGAAGAAAAGGTAAGATAAGATAAGATAAGATAAGACAAGACAATATGATAAGATCGATGGATAAATAGAAAGATAGATAGATGGATTTAATAGATGGATAGATGGATAGATGGATAGATGAATAGATGGTTAGCTAGATAGCTAGATACATAGATACATAGATACATAGATAGACAGATAGACAGATAGACAGATAGACAGATAGACAGATAGACAGATAGATAGATAGATAGATAGATTAGATTAGATTAGATTAGATTAGATTAGATAGACAGATAGACAGATAGACAGATAGATAGATAGATAGATAGATAGATAGATAGATAGATAGATAGATAGATAGATCAATACATAGATAGACAGACAAACAGACAAACAGACAGACGGACAGACAGACCTTTAATAAGGAAAGAACATGAAAGAATCCAATCATCATAGTCTCCATTTAGGGATACACGTTTAATGACAAATATTATGTTTCAAAGTAGAATTTGCGCAGGCTGTCCTTTCCAATAGAACTCTTTACACCTCAGTGAACATTCAAGCCGGATTTACTCCAGAAGGCATCAACTCGAACTTCCTTAATTTCAAGTAGGTTGCCCTTCCACTGGATCAGCCCTGCCCAAAACCAAAAAAAACTCCAAAAAACCAGAAAACAAAACAAAAACAACACATATCTCCCAGAACTCTTGGCACAGTGAGTGACTACCTCATGAAAGAATGTCTGAGGAGTATGTGTGTTGCTTTTGTGTTTGAATTTTGTGCTTTTTTTGTGGGGGGGCTTTGGGCAGGCAGGGCTGATCCAGTGGAAACACTGTCTGGGTATTTTGTAGTGTTTAGTTTGTGTTGTTCTGAGTTGTGCTTTTTGCAGGTTTTATCGAGTTGTGTGTTTCTCCTTGGAAACCCAGAAATGCTTTAGGACAACAGACAAGACTGCAACTTGCACATATCCCAAGCAAACACTAGACTAAACACGCAATTTACACAGGTCAACAAAGACAAGAACAAATGCACTGCCGCAGTCGCCTGTTCTGCAAATTAATCTGGGGTCCTCCAATACTGTCAGGGGCCAGCAAGCCGAGCGCGTGAGAAGTATTGCAGGGGGCCTAGTCTCAACACATTCCCCCTGCTTGCAATTGTATCATCAGGCTGGAGGGAGGCTTTGAGTCCTTACCCCCAAAAAAACTGACAAAAGCAAGAGCTCAGCGGAGTCGATTCATTGACTTGGGTATCAATTTCTATCGGTTTTTTTTCAAGCGAGGTGCGTTGCGCATGGACGAGAAGAAAAAAAGTTAGGCTGGGAAACAACTTGCTGGTTCGATAGCAGTCGGAATGAGTTGAGTTGGAACGACCTCTATCAACCATCCAACTGGCCTCATTCTTTTACCATGGTCAAAGTCACCCCTGTTCAGTGATGGGCTAAAAGGAAACAACCGAATCCATTTTCTGACTTTGATAAACCCCAGGAACCGTCAAAATAATGACCCCAGAACTGGCTTCCATTATTCGGGAATCCCAAAACGGCCTTTTTGAACCACTCGGGTAGAGGAGGAGCCCTCAAAAACAAAGACAAAAACTGCTGAGCACCAGCAAGCCCCGTCCGCTGTAGCGCTCAGATCGCTCAGATCGCTCAGATCGCTCAGACCGCTCAGTTCGCCCTGGCCTCGTCACGGTGTAGCGAGCTTTGGTCTTTGCCTGCGGTCGCCCGCGAGGCGACAGAATTCAAGGGCCCGATGGGGTGGGGTGGGGTGGGGTGGGGTGGGGCGGGGGGGGGTGGGGTGGGGTGGGGTGGGGTGGGGTGGGGTGGGGTGGGGTGGGGTGGGGTGGGGTGGGGTGGGGTGGGGTGGGGTGGGGTGGGGTGGGGTGGGGTGGGGTGGGGTGGGGTGGGGTGGGGTGGGGTGGGGTGGGGTGGGGTGGGGTGGGGTGGGGTGGGGTGGGGTGGGGTGGGGTGGGGTGGGGTGGGGTGGGGTGGGGTGGGGTGGGGTGGGGTGGGGTGGGGGGTGGGGGCCGAAGAGGCGACGTGCATTGCCAGACATTTTGGTTCGGTTCACTACTGGCAGAGGCTGTGCTGGCCAGTTTGCTCCTTCGGTGAGAGTCATCTATATGGGGGGGAATGCAAGGAACTGCCGGACACCCATTTATCCTGCTTGGCTGATGTGCATTAGAAGTGGCAGTATTGATAAGGGCGGCTCCCAGCGGTCGTTGCAGCAGGACAGGTAAAGATATGCCATGCTCTTCAACACACATACTCTTGACTGGACTCATGTGGGCCATGTTCAAAAGTTCAAAACTCCTTGTGCATGGTCGTGGGTTCCTTCATATGTGCCATGGTCGTGGTTGCCTTAGGAATCATTTCATCGACTGAGGATCCTTGCTTCCAGATAGATGACGATACCCCCACAGGTCAGCCGAACTGAAGCAACTGAAGCAACGGCTCCTTTCACCAAGCCTCGAGTGTCCCGTGATTTGTCGAGCAAACAGGGCCCTTTCTTGAAGTGCTTGTTTGTTTGGGGGTGCTTTTTGAGGGCACCCTTTTTTGCGGTTGGTGTAAAGGGAAACCAAAAGGAAACCACCATTCATTCTGGGGGTGCCCTATTACCACCTAAGAAACCCTGGAAGGATGATTCCCCTGTACATACCAACAATGGTTTCCCATAGTGTCAAAGTGGTGCGAGAAGAGCCATCCACAGCTATGACACATACCCACGGCTAGGGTTCTACCTTTTGACTACCCCCAAAAAGAGATAAAAACCCAGGGCTGGTTGATTTCCCTGAAAGCAAAACCCCTGGGTTTGAGTCTACCTTGGGGTAGTCAAAAAGTAGAACCCTGCCCACGGCAGTTCACTTCTGAGTTCGCAAAACAAATTGAGTGCCCGGCCCCGCCTGGTTCTGCTTCTTCCGCAGCAGCGGCACATTGCAGACCCCGGTTGGGACCTCAATACTTGTAGCGCTCGGTAGGTGGACAAAGCGGATGGCGGACCCCCCTTCCCCGGAAAGTGTACACCCCAGAGTAACAAACCCCTGGCTGATTGATATGGGGTGTCCCCGTTTAGTAGGCATTTAATATTTTGAGAGGGTGGCCCAGAGTGGTTACTCGTTGCCCAGCAACAGCGAGGAACGCTTTTCCTGCTATCCGGCTGTTTCTAGTGACAGTGCCTGTGATCTGTTGGAGAAGCATGAGCGATACTTGGTGGTTGTTATTTGGGTTCCCTTTCTCAAAAAACACACACACAGGCAGAGAGAGAGAGAGAGAGTTGTCACCGTTTGTCGCTCAACACATCACAGGACCCCCGAGAGCTACCTTCGCGTGCAAGGTGATGTTGCTCACAGTGCAAGATTTGAACCTTTGCCCACTCTGATCTGGTCAAGAGGTTCTCTGAAGCTTGCCGAAAGAGAAACGCAAATCACAAACACTCCTTCACCCGCCAAGACAACACGGGAGCAAAGCAAAGGCGTTGCACCACGAAAGCTCATAAGTAAGTGAGCCAGGGACCATGTAACCACGACAATCACTTGTCGCACCAAAGCACACAGTTGAACAATGTCCGATGCTCCCACCTGGCTCATGCCAAATTTGAGGTGTATGTGCTCCCCAATTAACGATAGGTGCTCCTTTTTGGGTCCAGGGACCAAAACCTCGGCCCAAGTGTTGGCCTCAGGGCTGACGCGGACCTTCACTAATCGTTTTATATCCCCTCACAATGATTCGCGCAAAGATTGCAACGGCATGTGGCAATCTTAAAGCGTGCGATCAGTCAGAACGCTCATCAATATCAGGTAGGCATAAGGGGTCCTTCGTAAGAGGGACACTTCCATTTGTTTGAGTCCACTGAACAAACTGAGCAAATACTCCCAGTAGTGATAGATTCCCTTCAAAACCAAGAGAAAATAGAACAACATATTCATTGCAGGAAATGCGAGGAGAACTGGTAACCAAACCACGCCAAGTATCTACCTCTGCGTTTTGATTCTGGATGTTGATCATCTTTCAGGAACGGCTCGAACGGCTCGCAACCCGGTATTGTCTGAGGCAGTTCACAGCTTGAAATCTCTCAAGCTCGAAAGGCGTCCATGGCAAATACCCTCAAACTCGGAAAAACCATTGTCCAAACCCGGTACTATGCTCGTAATCCCAGAACCATGCTTCAGGAATTCAGAAGGCGGATCTCCGCAGCTATTTATGGCAAGGGGATCGATCGCCCCTTACTAACCTTCATCTACCCGAATCGGTTTTGAGCAGGTGGCTCAAATGGCTATTTAAAGGGGATCGTCCATTACCAAGCTACCCGGAATTGGAGCAGGCGGCTCCCCCCCTTGGCCATGTGGCCATCTCCGTCTCCAGGCCAGCGCACAGGATGGGCTTGGAGACCACGCCCTCCGCTAGGCCGAAATCGCCGCGATATCGTCGGAGAAGGCGCGGGAAATCGGCAAACGAAATCCGTAGGGAAGGAGAAATGGAACGAACCCGGGCGTTCCCCTCAAAGGAAACCACCAGTTGGATGGTGTAGGCTTGGGTCCCCGAAGAAAAGGAAACCAGTTGGAGGCTTGATCCAAGCTTTCCCCTTAGTCCCCTCAAAGGAAACCAACAGTTGGATGGTATATCAAGGAATTCCCCTTAGTCCCCCTAAAGCAAACCGCTAGTTGGATGGTTTATCCAGGCTTTCCCCTTAGTGCCCTTAAAGGAAACCACGAGTTGGATGGTTTATCTTGGGGTCAGACTGCATTTCTCATTCCCTACCTATCGCACCAGCAAGAAGGGTCAGAGAAGGTAAGAAATTGCACAGTAGTACCACTTCTACAAATACTCGCGGCAGAAGAAATTGGCCTTCTTTCGGGTCAAGCATCATACTGCTTGTCTCGTGGGCTTGGTATGTTTACAACGACAGAATGTAAACTTGACCCGTGCCGAGTGGCACGTACTACATGTGTCATCACTGGAATCATCGCCCCCAAGATAAAAATCTTTCTCTGATTGCCATGCTAAACTGCGGTTGGAACACATGTCCCTTTGAATATCCCTTGAGTTGGGAGGTGTCTCGCAATAGGGGAGCCCTCAAAACGGGTGGCTTCCTCTTAGTTTCCAGTTGTTGTCGCTTAAACCAACCCAAAAGGACACCCTTCAAAAAGACACCCAGTTGTCCATTTGCTTTTGCGCGCCCTGGAGAAACAAAGAGCAAATATGTCCGTGAAAACCAAGCAAAAATAAAAACATACAGCTTAAATGCAAGGACGACTGCAAGAAGCCAACAGGGGATGGATTCCCATCTTAAAAAAAGGAAAACAAACATGAAATCAAAAAACTGCTCAGCTCAGATGGAAGCAACGGCACCCTCTCCTCCTTCTCCAGGAGGGCACAGAAATTGGTGAACTCATCCCTAGTCTCCTTGGTCGCCGGGGCCTGGCGAGGCCAACGCCCGGACGCCCGGAACTGGACAGGCGAAGCCGAGGAAAAACTCGTCGTTTTTGTTGGAGAGCCGGTTTTGCGGTTGGGCGTTTTCAGGGGTTTTGATGAGGAGACCTGCAATTTTGGGTTTTGGGGTTGCGTTTTTTCAGGGGGTTCTCAGGAGGAGACCTGAAAAAGACCTGAAAAAATGGGGTTGATTGATCGCCCAAGTTTGAGAGAATTCGGCGGCGGTCTTTCTCAGTGCAGGCCGGAGGCCACACTTCACCAAGCAGGCAACCTGAACCTCCATTTACTGAATCTTTCTGGAAAAAAACATGTATATCAAGGAGTGCTAGAATCCCTTTAAAACCAATCAAAGGGAGAAAAACCAAATTATTAAGCAGAAATAAAGTGAAAACAAAAAAAACAAAAACGGCCCGGATCCTGGAGAAACGCCCGGATCCAAGCTGCACGGTGCCGAGCGAGCTGCTTGAGCAGTATGTCTCAAATCGTAAAGCCCGTGGCGAAGGCACTGAACACAATCGCTGGCGCTTCTACCCAGGCCAGCGGGTGTGGTGTGGGGTGGAGGTGGGGGTGGGGGGTGGGGGGTGGGGGGTGGGGGGTGGGGGGTGTGGGGTGGGGGGTGTTATTCAGCTTCCCCCTTGGTGGTTTGGATTGCTGGTTTGGTGGTGGGGGTGGTTTCCGGTTGATTCTCTACAAGGACCAGGGCTCAAATCCCCAAATCACCAATCCAACTATCAACACCCCACATCGGGCACAGCTCAAGAGCTTGCTCCGATTGAGCGACATCTTCCAAACTCGCAGCTTCCATTGCCGGGACAAGGAGACCGAATTCTGAAGTCCGCTTGGACTTCACAACCCTTGGTATAGGGCTTGCAAAAGACCTTCTTTCTCTTGCGGCCCCTTTTTAAACATGAACAGAACCACGCAAAGACAACAACAACAACAACAACAAAAAACTCGCCCAAGAAGCCGTGAGAAGTGGAAGTACCCCGGTTTTCGCCCCATCCCAACGGAGTCGTTCTTTTTTTTCCCTTTTTTTTCCGGTTTTTCCCCGCCTCGGAGGCGGCAAAGCCGGCCAGCCACAGCGCGTCCACCAGCACTTGCTGCAGGGACTCCTCTCGTGAGGGGAAAAAAGTTGGTCGTTGGTCGGAAGCGCTTGGCGGAAGCCAACACGTCTCCCAACCCGACAGACGGTTGACGTTGGGTTTGGGGAGCAAAAATTCTCAAGTTTTAGCAGCCAAGTGGGTGGAGATTTCAACCACTAAACCACAATAAGCAAAAATGTGTCCAATGTTTCCCAACAACAACCGAGATGGCTGTGGCTCAAAACTGGGTACCCAAAATGGGTTGCCCTGGTAAATGGAACCCATGACTCAAACAGGCGGTCCGATTCCTGTCGGTTTAATTTTGACCCAGATCTGCTAGAGGAAGATCTGCTCTTCTTTTTTTTTCCCCAAGAAACCCCGCACGCTCCCCCCAAATAAAAGAAGCACGGAACCTGAGGGAGGGCCTCTGGTTAGAGGAAAATCGTGCGGTTTCCGTGTGTGTGTGTCTTGCTTTGTTTTTGCTTCTCTTTTTTTTTTTGGGGGCGGGGGGGGGTCCGGGGCCACTTGGGGGAGTCATAGAATGGAGCGTGCCGGTTCACTGCTTCGCGAAAAGGATAAGAACATGAACATGTATGCACGTTTATATATGGTTTCTTGCGTATGTTGTTGATTTGTCCTGTCACCATTTTCTCTTGGCAAGGCCAAGTGCCACGGGAGCTGGAAAAACCCTTTCACACGCACGCGACAGGCTTTTCGCCGTCGATGTCACACTAGCCCTACCAACACTGTCGAGACAATCAGAAGTGCACCAGCGCGAGCACAATGGCCAAGGTGAATTGGGTAGCGGCTCCCCTTAAATGAGTCGCAATCAAAACCTGGTACTAAAATGGTCGTAATCCCAGAACCATGCTTCAGGGATTAAGAAGGCGGATATCCGCAGCTCTTTATGGCAAGTGGATCGCCCCTTACTAACCGGATCGGTTTTGAGCAGGTGGCTCAAATGGCCATCAGGCTCCCAAGTTCTGCGACATACAACGGGGGCTCGGAGACCTCAAGAGCTCTATGTCACTTGGCTGAAGTTCAGTCTGTTATGCCCAAATGGTGACCTGCAAGAATCGGATTGTGTGTCCCTAGAATTCCAAAAGGCACCAACCATTGGTGGGATCGTCTGTGTATAGTCTGTGTATAGTCTGTGTATAGTCTGTGTCTCATTCGAAAACATGGACTCTTGCTTGCACTTCTGCTTGTCCGATTTGCTTTGCTCGGATGTCCGGTAGGCGCGCAAGCCACGAATCTTATTTGCCCGTGCGCGATTTTTGGATACCAACTCCAAGACCTTGCTCCCGTTATCATTGCACACGTGCTTCTTGTCACCCGGGCGGTGGCAAACTGTGACGTTGGCATGTTGACGGGAATTCTTCCATTTCCACAAGAACTTGCGTTCCATTCGAATCAAAACCTGGTACTAGAATGGTCTACCAAGAACCATGTAAAGAATTACCAAGGCGGTCGCACCCGTTTATGGTTGGGATTATCCCTTGCTAAGCTTCATCTGCCCGAGTTTTGATTGTGGCTCATGTGAGCAGTCACCATAGGCTGTTACCCGGACTGGACAGCCGGGAAATTGTTTCGGCTTCGTCCCCCATGGTTAAGAGTAGTCGGGGGAAACAAATCGACCATCCCCCCATTTCCCCTAGCTTGTTCAAAACCGAATCGCTGATGATTATCGGATTGCAAATTGCGTGGTTTCCAGATTGGACTCTGCGATTTATGGATTACAAGTTATGGGTTGCCATGGATTTTCAAGATTCCAGCATAAGGTCTAATGACCGTTTTCAGCGCAGATTGCGGACTAAGACAATTAGCAACCAGACAAGCATTAAGCGGATTGCGGATCGTGATTAGGCCCCAGTGGATTTCCAACCGGCTGAGTATTTCTTTGACCACTTCCGTTGGATGATAGAATCCTTATCCTATCCTATGTTTAATATGTTTAGCAACCGTGGCGGGGGGGGGGAGAGGGTGGGCCACTTTACCTGTTGGGAGTGGGGATATGACAGATGTCTGGTGAAACACCAGGAGCATGTTCTTAGCATTCCGTGGGCCCAATCCCATGAGCTAGCCATGCCAGCTTCGCCAAGCGTTTGGTCAGACTGTCGATGCTTCGTTTGGGAAATGGGGGAATGGTAAATACTCAAAGCACAATGGCGCTGGCGCATCGATTTGGCGCTCCCCATTCCCCGTACACACGTACACACATGGGTAAAATAGCCCATCCCCAAAATGGGTGGTTTTCCCTTTGATTCCCCTTTCGAATCAAGCCAACAGTGATGGCAAAGAGGTTCTCCAAAAAAAAGGACGCACCCACATACACACGCAAATTGTTCAATGGCAATGTACTTGATGACTCGCCAAAGACAAGTTGAACGCCCATAAAAGGAAGCCAAGGAACCTTCAGGTCACAAACCTGCTGTACACAGAGACCTGCAGCGGCCTTAGCGCAACCTGTCTATGGCAACTGCTTTACTTCAACGCGAAGCTCCTCCAAAAAAGTGAAAGGCTTGTCAGAGGAAGTCTCCCGTCAACGCGCGATCTGTTCTTCTGCCAGTCGCTTAGTCGCTTGGCCCTCGTATTCAAGCTACAAGGTGCCGCGCCTTCAACTGTTGGGCCGCTCTGCATGGGAAAAACGGCCTCAACAGCTTCAGATCCGAGCCGGGGCTTCATAAGCCAAGCTAAGGAGGGCGCGTATGTACAGCGGGATTCTCAGGATCTCAGGATCCAGGTAGGAAGCATCCGCGAGGAATCCAGGAGTTCTGCATATCCTTCTAGGTCTTGCGGCCCGGTGACTTGCGACTTTTGACCCAGTCCAGCTAGGCCCAAGATTGCAACTTGATTGACTCGGGAAGAACCTCTTTTTCATGCGCACCTGATGAAAGCAGCTTGTAGCATAGCATGACGTCTGTGCGAAAGAAGGCGATACCCAATGATGTAGTCTGCCTTACAAATCCAAAGTATCTCGACTCAAAGGCATCACCTTGTCTTGACAAATCAATCGACACGGGAACACATCAGCTCGTAACCCTCCCATTCATGCTGTAACTAGCAATCAGTCGCTTGCGAAACATGGCAAACACTCCATTCTTTGGCAGCCAGACGGTGTGTTTCCCGAAGGCAACGAAGAGTTACACAGACCCGACCGAACATACCGCCACTGCGAAAAATTTGGTCTCCGCCAATCCCTAGCGCAAAACCTCGAGAATGAAACTATGAAGATTTGGGTCGACATGCTGGGCACCCATCCAAGCTGTGAAAAGGGGGCAATGCTCTACAAGCACGAATGTACACGCCCCACCCAGCCCGTGCAATGATACTCATCCACATCTCGGCTTATTTACGGGCGGCACGTACTGACACCCGGGCTCCCAAAAGGGAAACCCCACCTCAGCTTTTGCACCCAATCCAACATGCTATGATAGTTTATGGTCCATATTCAATGAATCTCTTGTAAAACGCGTTCGGAAAAAGAACAAAAAAGAACAGAAAGAAACTGAAGCCCTCCTTATTGTGTCAACACCTTCTTAGTGTTCCTTTGAAAAGGGACCGGGTCGGTTGGTTGACTCTGCCCAAAGGACTTGGAAACAACAGGCTCAGATCTTGGGGTCAAAAGCTCAACTCAGACGGTCAGATCACTTCACCTGGCGACTCACCGTGTCAGTCTCAATTCTGTTTCTGACCAACACTCCATTCCAGTCCTCTCAAAACTCTCGTGGAAAACACCTTTGGGGCGCCTTAAAAAAGAAGTGAAGGATCCATCCTTGAGGAACAAAGATGGTGGCCAAACAACGCACCAGCTCACAGGTACTCCGTGGTCACAACGGGTCAACGAGGACTCCCAACGGTTCCTCTCCGACTGAGCAATTCCTCTGGCCGAGGCCACGCCGCTCAGCTGAGGACCCAAGCCCGGTCTCAACCTCCAGTCTCGGTTTCGTCCCCTGGAAAACACGCGAGCATATGTCCAGTAGCGATAGATTCCCTCTGAAACCAGGGGAAATTATAATATATTCTTAAGCCAATGGAAGACATGCGAACCTTTGACCAGTAGTGATACGACATATTCATGTCAGCAAATGGAGGACTATGAGTCCCTTTGGGCAAATGGCGCTGGACGACAGAAACCAGTGGGTTGCCCATCGATGTTCAGACCAGCTGACCCCATCAAAAGCCGCCGACTAAGTGCTTGCACTACCCCCAAAAAGAGAGGCAGCGGCCAGGCAAAGAAAGGCTGTCCGCTTTCCACTTTGATGTTCAATCGAAACCCAAAAGAAAGGAACCGGGGTACTCCTTTTGTGGTTGATGTTTTACGCGCTCAAAAGACGGAACATACAGGAAACCACCGGACATCCGGAGATCTGGGTTGTGTTCTTGAAGCAAAGAGCGATAGCGGCAACATGCCAATCCAAAAATTCCCTGCACACATATGTGCATATACATATATTTGTATATACACCCCAAATCGAACAGTTCACCGCCCCAAAATCCATCACCAAAATCCCCATCCCACAACAAGAACTTCCTGCACCCTCAGAACTTCGGGAAAAATACCCTAAGTCAAATGAACATACACACCCCGACCTACCTTTGGGCCGAACATAAACACACAGCCCTTTGAAAGGTCATTTGGGACGTTTGGTCCAGAGACTTTTTGCTGTAGTCTAGTTAGGGGAATTTTCCCCAACCAAAAAGGAGGATGAGAAGGGCACTGCAAAATGTAAGGGGGTCCCTGATGTGTGGGTGGGTCAACCCATCTTGCCCAAAGCGAACCTGCGATCGGGGTGGAATGATTCTGTCTTGCGAAGCCTTTGTGGCCCAGATCGCACTGAGCAATGTGGACAGCTTGACTCATTGACAGCTGGTGAGACATGTGTACCCGTGTCTCTGAAAATAAGGAACCCGACTTTGGAGGGTTGAAAAGGGAAGCCGAACAGAAGCCAACTACCTGGAGGCGCCCTATCTTTCTCTTTGTCAGCCACCTGTGCCTGCCACTGCAAGCCAAAAAAGCTTTGGCCCAA